TCCCCGCATTGGGGGATCCCTCTAACACGTACAATGCTCAGCATATCTATGTGTTAAACTCGCTAGCGGAAGTGAAGAGTATCGTTTTAATGACAGACCTCGATCACCCGGACGCTTTAATTATTCCATTATTTACTACTTGCTTTGACATTGTCTCTGGTTCTTCCAAAGGTTCCACAGGCGAGGACATCGCGAAGAATGTTGAATTCGATATGACCCGCCTGCTTGTAACGGTGATTGATGAGACGCCAGTACTTGCTCCGGATGTCGTGGATGTTATCGTCGCCCAATTCCTGCGCATCGATCCACGTGCTCTGGAGAACCCTAGTAGGAGAGGGAAGAAGGCCGATACTCCGCTCGATGCCAAACAGGGAACGTTGCTTTTGAAGGACTACCCCCCAGCCTATAACATGGCGAAGGCAATTTGCCAAGCCTGTCCGGAGAGAATGACTAGTCATATAAGCCAGTATTTCAATAATGTCATCATCGACGCCTCTGCAACCGGAGCGAACGGTCCGTCTAAGAACTCTCATCGCCGACCCAATCTTGATGATTCAGACGAAGAAGGGGAGGATATTAAAGAGCTGAGCAAGGCACATCGTTTGATCAGGGAACTTTGGAGGGCCTGTCCCGAGGTGTTGCAGAATGTGGTCCCCCAACTGGAGGCAGAACTCTCCGCGGAATCTGTATCTTTGCGCCTACTAGCTACGCAGACAATTGGTGACCTTACGGCTGGAATTGGAGTTGCCGGGCCACCCCCGACTCCGCCAATGGATCCTGCAGCCTATCCGCCGGTAACCTTGTCAGACTATTCGCAGACGATCCCCCAGCCAAACGTTCTTTTACAGCCATTCTCTCCCAAGCCATTCTCGCAGGCGCATAGCTCCACCTACGAGGGCTTTTTGAGCCGACGATTGGATAAGTCTGCCTCAGTAAGGGCTGCATGGGCCACCGTCGTTGGTCGGATATTGTTAACGTCGGCCGGTGGCTCTGGCCTGGCCGAAAGTGAGGAGCAGATGCTCATCAAAAACCTAGCGTCTATGCTCCGAGATGCAGATGAGAAGGTTCGAGTAGCGGCAGTCGACGCGGTGGGTACGTTTGGCCTGTCGCACATCGTTCACAAGTTAGGCGCCAGTGGTGGCTTTTCATCCCAAGATTCTATACTTTTTATCTTGGCAGAGCGTGTCAAAGACCGAAAGCCACAGGTTCGGGAACATGCCATGAAAACCCTGGGCCGGATGTGGGCAGTTGCGGCAGGTGAGATTGAACAAGATAACGAGCAAGTAGTATCCTTGCTCAAAGATGGGCCGTCAAAGATCTTCGATGCTTATTACACAAATGACCTCGATATCCATGTGTTGATCGATCGCGTTTTGTTTGAGATCCTTCTTCCGCTTAGCTACCCACCGATAAAGCCTAAACTATCGCGGAGCAGCTCGACGCAGTCTCAAAAACTGAAAGACTCACAGACGTCAGAGGGCGATAATGAGACAGACGTTGACAAGATTCGTGTGCGTCGCATCTTAACCCTAATTAGTGGATTGGACGACAAGGCAAAGAAGGTTTTCTTTGCAATGCAGGCCAGGCAACCACAAATGAGGACAGCTGTTACAGTCTATCTTCAGGCCTGCGAGGAGTATAATGTAAGTGCCTCGCTATTTGTATAGATGATCGGATATTGATATCAAGTGAACGTAGGGCGGTGTGATGGAAAAAGACGACGAACGGATCACAACTCAAATTAACCGAGTGATTGATACATTGTCAAAGGTCTTTCCTGATGCATCAAGAGCTTCCGCAGATCTTTGGAAGTTTGCCAAAGTACATGACCGGCGCAGCTACCAGTTGATTCGCTTTGCAATGGCCGCGGTCAGCGACTACCGAACGGTCATCAAGGCCATCAGGGAGCTCGCACGCCGATTGCAAAGCTCTAACAACTCTCCTTTACTTGAGACTCTGACACCCCTTCTGTACCGCTGTAGTTCCCTTGTTTTCAACCGGAGCCACATTCCAGCAATTATAAGCCTCTCGCGGACAGATGAGAATGGATTGGCGAGTCCCGCACATGAAATGTTGCGGGAGATCTCTTCCCGGAATCCCGAGGTACTAGAGGCTCAGGTTCAAGAGATGTGCAAGGATCTCGAATCGCAAGCACCATCGGCCGGAACGAGTAAGGACACTGGAACTGAGGAAATCCTCAAGGCTTGCTCTGGGTTTGCAAAGAAGCTTCCGGCAAAGCTGCCCAAAGAGCGCAAGTTTTTCCAGGCCCTTGTCAACTACGCGTTGTATAGCCCATCGCCTCGCGCTGCCAAGCATGCTGTCTCAATCCTCATGGCCACCGCAGATCGCAAAGAGATGTACGCTAAGGACCTGGTCCAGAAGTGTGTTTCTAAGTGGGAGTATGGAACAGACCGATTCCTCACTAAATTAGCTACGCTATCTCAGCTGAACCTCTTAGCCCCAAGGGAGGCAGACGAAGAGAGTGACGCCATCATCTCGATCGCAGTCAATCAAATCCTCTTGACAAACCGATCTCCGAAACCGGAAGCCGGGTATACGTGGTCAGACACCGTGGATGATGAAACCGCTGCCAAAGAATGGGCTCTCAAGATTATTGTCAACCGCCTACGGGCCAAGCAAGGCTCGGACGGCGAAGACGATTTCCGTGCTCATGCCGAGCCTGTTTATAGCACTCTCAATAAACTTGTGGCCGGTGAGGGCGAGTTGTCAAAGAAAAAAGACACACCAGCAGGGCAAAAGTCACGACTACGTCTTTTGGCCGCCAAGTCGTTACTCAAATTATGTGCATCCCACAGTATCTGTGACCATTTGCTTGCGCCTCAAGACTTCAATGCGCTTGCTCTAGTCGCCCAAGATCGTCTTGCGCCTGTAAGGATTGGGTTTATCAATGAACTCAAAAAGAAGCTGGTACCAAACTCACGCTTGAGCCACCGTTGGTATATCATCACTTTCCTGCTCGCGTTTGAACCAAATGCTAGCCTGAAAGACAGCACTCTAACATGGTTGCGATCCCGTGCGACCTTCTTTTCTCAAAATGGCGGCAAAAAGAAAGACCCAGTTATGGAATCCATCTTTTCGCGCTTGTTGTCACTACTAGCTTATCATCCCGACTACCCCCCGCAAAACCTGGATGAGGAGACGAAAGCTCGCGATCTGACCGACTTGGGCCGCTACATTCTTTTCTATCTTTCTGCGGTAGCTAATGAACATAATCTCTCACTCATTTTCCATATCGCCCAGCGTGTTAAGCAGACACGTGATGGTATTACCAAGTCCGATGAAATCACGACACGTCTACACACACTTTCCGACCTGGCTCAATCTACCATTCGCCGATTCGCCGATATCTACTCACAGCAGCGCAAATTCGGTGGGGGAGCTGGTGGCACTAATATCCTGCAGACGTACCCCGGCAAGATGGGTCTCCCGAGTTCAATCTTTGCCCCAATGAGCAGCCACCGTGAAGCCCAGGAAGTAGCCGAGAAAAGCTTCCTCTCGGAAGACGTTGATGACCTGCTGGATCGGCTTGTGCGGTCTGTAATGAGGTCAAAGGGCGGTTCCCAAGGTCAAGTCGCGAAGAAGAGAAAACCTGAGCCCACCGACACAACCGGTGGAGCTGGAACAACCAAGAAAGTAAAGAAAGTTAAGGAGAAGGTTACACAACCCCGGAAGTCCTCAGGCGCAACATCAAGGACACCTAAGCGGAAGAACAAGGACGAAGATGGCTGGTCATCAGATGAAGGAGCCGCAAAAACCAGCACTGCTACTACCCGCAGACGCAGCAGCAGAGGTACTTCGCGTAGAGTCAGTTATGCAGATCACGACAGCGATGAAGATGACGTCGAAATGGACGATTGGGATCAAGATGAAGACGAAGTTGAAGCTGAAGGTGACGAAGAAAACGAGAACAATCACGTCGAGGATTCCGAAAACGACGACGGCAGCGACCTGTCATCTCCTCCACCATCACTCCCCCCATCATCTCCACCACCAAGCGCCAAAAAAGCACGTGCCGAAAAGGCAACAACCCTGCCATCCCGACGCTCCTCTCGAAGAGGATAAAGACGGACACACTTAGCAATGTGGATCTCTTATCAAGCATCATATACTTCCTTTATCTCTTCTATCTTTGCCACATTTGTTATCAGGCCTGCCAGCCTGTCTGGCTGCGTAACCTACATGATTCCTCGAATCAATCCAAAACTCCCACTTCATATGTCCACGTTAACCATTCCTTGACGGGATGCTTTTCTTGCCTGTTGTGCTATGCTATGCTATTTTATGTTATCTCCGTTTTCTCACCAATGAACGAGTCCGTCAGTAAGTGTCAGTTATTTTACCCGTTGAGTCGAACTGAAATGTATACCCATTTCCTACGCTATTTCATTGCTTTCCCTCTTGTTTCCTTAAAATTGCTAGGATAACGCCCGTTCCAAATGTCACTTTTTCTGCGTGTTTGCCTTTTGCTCTTTTATCCGGTTTTGTTTTAGCTACACTCGTATGTATGTATGTACCCGGTGCTCCAATACATGTACAGCGCGAATTGAGGCCACGGTAGTACACATAATCTTAGTCGCCCAAAACTAATAGCTATAGATATGTGACTAGGACTTGAATGTCATCATCAGGTGACATGCATTATTTATTTGTATTGAGTGAATAGGCCAGGTCCCATGAACAATGAAGATAGAGAGCACCGTATAATGACTTTAATGCCCCGAGTCTCGAACAACGCTGTATTTACGCCGACCATGACAATGGAGAAAGACAGCACCAGATCCAAGCTCACCAGAGTATCACACATAATTTCAGGACGGAAAAAAAAAGATACGGCTTCAAGTCCAATCGCTCAAACCATATACATAAAGCCGCGAATTCTGTTTCCAGTGGTACGCACACATGAAGAGGGGGAAAAAGTTAAAAAGAAAGATCTTTGAAAAGTATACATTGATGTAGAAAAGAAGATAGAAAAAATGGAGGAAGATATAGAAAGATGAAAGCGCTTCATCATTGAGCTCATGACTAAGATGTATTGTTGGCTCCTGCACCCCCGGTCCTGGCAATCCTCTCTTCAACACGCTCTTTGTGTTGTCGGTTTCGAAGATGGACCTCGAAATTATCAACTGTTGTGCCTGGCCCCGGGGTATACAGTTTGCCTGGGCAGTCATGGCACCGGATGCGTGGGAGGTATTGATATTTTAGTTTGTGGCCTGACTCGGTATTGGTATTGGCTACTGGTAGCATTGTCTCTGTATCGACAGCAGTGTAGCGCATTACGCCTTCAAAGGAGTCATTTGGATACGAGCGTTTTAGTCGCGCGAGTCCCGCCGCAAGCCAACTTGGAGGCGGGGGCTAAGAGAAGTTCAAGTCAGCAGGGAACCGTGATTGATACACCCACCATAGCCGGATAAGCCGGTCCACTTGAGGCGAATCAACAAAAGAATTGTCATGAGTTATCTATCACTCACCCCTGGGACACCCGGCTGAGGGGGGTGGGTTGCATCTATGGCTCCAATTTGTTGCGCGGGGACGGTCCGTTGCGTGGGTGTACCGACACTTGGAACACGGGCTTGAGGCTGGGTGAGTGAAGGTGGAGCCATGTTGCTTGGGGTCGGAGTGCTAATTTGAGGCGTGCCTTGATGCGATGGTGGCTGAGGGGCCGGAGTCGCTGAGAGACTCGGTATTGACTGTGGTCCGTGGGTAAGAAGCTGACGGAACTTCTCACGAGGGATCTTAAGCTTCACAATTAGTTTTTCTGGCTCTTCGATGCTCTCTTCGCGATAGTCCCGTCTCCTAGCAGATGCTCTTCCCTCATGGTGAGGCTCCGGAGTGGCAGACTGACCAAGGTTCGCACGCAGAGCAGCGTGAGCAGCACTGGCAGCCCCTCGCATGCCTCTTGTGCGCGCAGTGCCTTGGGCCAGATGAGGACCGATAGCGGGGGAGCCTGTGATTGAAGATTCATCGCTGTCTGATTCATCAGAATCGTCACCAGTGTCCCGCAACCCGACAGCAGCGCGCCTGGCACGAGTCGACCCAGATCGCTTGAAGACGTTACTCTCATCAATAGACGCAGCCGAATTAGGGATGACGGAAGATACAATCATCGTACGGATAGTCCTTTGACGGTCTTTCAGGTCGGGTAGGGCGGGTCCACCGCGACGGTTAACGGAGCGCTTCTGCCTCCGTTGATCTCGGGATATTGAAACTTCCGTGCGTTCTAATTCTGCTTCGTTCAATTCATATAGATAAGGTGTAAATTCCTTCGCTGCCTGGAATGGCCTGAAGGATGATGCGAGGGGAGTAGGGAGGAAAGCGGACTTAAGATCGGGATCATCGATAGGACGTCCGTCGAATGGATGGGAGAGGATATAGAGTGATTTTGTGAATAGCTGTGACTGTTCGCGGATGGAGTGCGCAATTGCTGTTGTGAATTCTCCTGATAGAGAAAGGTCATCCGTCATACGCGCAGCGAATTCTTCAGGGCAGTTGGAGGGGTCGTTAATATCCCATTCAAACTGATCAATCAAAGTATGCTGGCCAATGGTGATATTTAGCTTAACAAGGATGCGCATCTCATCGTTCTTGTAAGCATTGTATGGCAGATGAGGATCGAGAGGCTCTTCTTCCATATATATTTGAGGATAGTAATCGCAGATCTGCTCCTGGATACTTTGCGAAACCATCCGCACGAGGGGGGCGCACGATTCAAGAGGGAGGCCCAGGTCCTCCACTAGCTTTTCGGCGAATAGATCGGGAGATACCACCCGATCATGAAGGTTCCAGGTGAACGTATCTCGGATCTTGATCTTCTCCCAGTCGATGTCCAGCCGAATGGGCACAAGGTCTTCGATCTGTTCACTTTGCGTCTTCAAATCTTTCCGTGAAACCCGTAGCTCCCTAGTCCTCCGGTTACCTGGTCGCCGCCGGTTGGAGGGGTACAATAGCTGGGGATGTTGACCTCGCAGATCTGTACGAGCATTCCCAAACCCCTCGTAGCCGACACCATACAGTGCGGCTGGGTTCATATGGTTCTCCCGTCGTAGAGTCAGATAAAAGTCCCGTTCGGCGCGTTTCTGACTTAGTATCTCTTGATTCTGATTGTGGTACGCCGTCAAAGCGGAATGCTGGAACTCCCGGTTCACATACTGTTCCGCTAGGACCTTATCTTTTGGGGTTTCACGGACACGCACGGCTAGTCCTTCTGTCGGAGAGGAAGAATGAATGGCGGAGCCGCCATGCGATCGTTTCTTGCTGGCTGCTGAGCCATTGGCATTGTTTGACTGGGAGCTGGTAGACGGATTGCCGTTGGACGCGTCATGACTGGAGCCAGCGGGTGTTAAAGACACGCCCGAGGCTGCGAGAACGGCTTTCGCATTGTGCTTTCCTTCTGCGATCGCATTTGACCCGTTCGGCCCCTGTTCCGTAGCAGATCCGGAAGCAGCTTCGCCATTGTGATTCCCAGTTGTCATTGGTAGAACGGAGCCATTCTGAATACTGTCCGGCTGGAAGTCGCCGGGGAGTTGCCCCGATTGAGAAAGCTCCGGGGACGGCATGATCGGATATTGGCACGATCCGTAGTCGCGATTATCGTCCTGAAAGAAACAGAACGCGTCACTTGTATAGAAGGTTCACCCTTCGAGATGGCGCTCAACAAACGAGGATGGCAACCGAGTGGATAATGAGTCGGTCACGGCAGCATGCTTAGACGGAAACCTGAGACAGACCGCGTTCAGGTTAGCAAAATTTGGTATTGCCGCACATTGAGGTCTTATCGCAATTGGGACGCGACCAACGCAGCGGGGGATGCGATGCATCGCAAGATAAGGTAGTGAGGATATGCCGCAAGCCCGCCACGCCGTTGCCGTCATGTCACCTGGATGGAGGTAGACTTGACACCAAGGTTGGCAGAGCCGCGGTGTAAGAATGGGGACAGGGACGACAACGTGGAAGGTAGAAAGACATACCAGAACCAACGGGGAGAGAGAAATAAAGGGAAACGGAAAATGACGAATCAAAGGAAAATAACACTAACCACGGAGGATAATCAAAGCAATAATGAAAAGACCGGCGGAAAGCCCGAGGCAGGAGGAAGGTTCCAGGGCCAGCGCAGGACTGAGGCACAGCACAAGCAAGCAGTGGATGGGTCTGCCGGTATGGGTCTTTCTTTGGTCTTTGCGAGAGAGAACCCGGAAGAGAACGGCTAAATCAGCTGATGGCGCGCCCCAGTTGAGGTAAGGTCCAGGTCTCGATCGTTCTCGTCCTTATTTCTTCGGAAATCTATCTCCCTTTCTGTCCTCCTGAGTGATTTGACTCAGTTAATCTCCAGTGTCTCCCGTGCGTGGAGACTGACGTGACAATGCTCCAATTTCGCGAGAGGTGGTAAAATAAAGGGGAGAAAAGAATAGCAGAGATTGAGAGAGAGAAAGAGGGAGGGAAAAGGAACGCCGAGCGGACTGAACAGCCGTTACAAGTCCTGTCCGTTCGTCGGCGAAGACCTTCAGGGAGGCAGCTGGACATGTGCCAGCAGCGCCAGGAAAAGCCATCCTGATCAGAGATTTAGAGCATCCCTTTTGGGTTCTTTTTGAAGCTATCACCATTCATCCTTTCAAAAGCTTTCCATCCATCTGGCAGCATCAAAACGTACTTTACGGTTACTGTATTGACTCTGTAAAAGAGTCCCGGTCGCGTTTCACGTTCCCATTCACTATTCCTAGTTGGGAATGCATGTGATGTGAGCTACACTTAATCCAGTCATAGTATCTTACGCTAAGGTCCTTGGCGTAACAGGATTACTTCACAGTGGATTCGATTTTCTGTATAGGTACGGTATTGATCTTTCTCCATAATTACATCAGTTGCATTGGAACCCCAGGAGAGGTAACCATGTAACCATCTTGTTTGCATCCCTGAGTTTGATCTATGGCAGCCTGTCCTTCGGGTCGCGTTGGCCATGGGTTTGCGGGCATGTTCTTCGTCTAGCTGCATAATCTCACATCAACAACAACCGCTCGATGGTCTGAGTTAAACACACCATCGTCAAATCGATTGGCCAACACGGAATACCCCTCCACCTTCCATGGCTGGCCTCCATTGCTAAGCACCTTCACGGGCCCTGGTCCTAAGAGGACGTAATCGATACGAGAAGGGTCTTCTTTCTCGTAGCCGAAACCCGTCCAGGTCAAATGGTTACCGTAGTGCTCCGCCGGATCGACCGCTTTTGCAGCGTCAACCAGAGTGGACTCACTCCCTGTTAACACCGAATAGGCCTCTTGTGTCTCTTCGCTGTTCAAGTCACCCGTAAGGAATACAGCGGAAATGACATCTTTGTACTCTCCACTCTGGTACTCATCAATCTTTCGAAGGATAATGTGGGCGGCTTCAAAACGAGAACGGGATCCTTGGTCGTCCAAATGGGTGTTCATCGCCAGAATAGTCTGACGACTTGTATGATGTGTGAAAACACCAATAGTTACAATGCGGATGGACGCTGCATCCCAGCTTTTGGAGGGGATATGCGGCGTTTCAGACAACCAGACTGTTTCCCAATGTCGGAGCTGCCAGACCGACGGTCGGTAGAAGATAGGAGAGTATTCACCAGCTTCATGTCCATCATCTCGCCCGACACCGATATACGCCCACGTATTGTCTTCAGCTTTGGCGGAGACTGTGGAATGTTTACGATTCAGCCCGGAGTGTATATTGATGAGCTGGTTATGGAGAACTTCCTGTAGGCAGATGAAAGCGTCTTGATTGCGGGTGTTATACAGCAGCTGATTTAGGAGTGGCTGCCTGCGCCCTTCCCACGGTTTCTCTCCCTTAAATGGCGACTTCGTTGCATAACGAATGTTATTCGTCAAGACGCGGAATGGAAGCTCTGTAGAAGATCTCATTTTGAAATAGTTCAACAGCTGAATGTCAAGTTATGGAAGCGTTGGGTTGCTATTTCCATCAGAACTGAGAACCTTGCCGCCCGCACTTGTCAGATATACCGTTCCTAATGTGAGTTACAGGTAATAGCGATGTTATAGGATCGATGAGATGGTGAGATGAGGAGAAGGTTGGGTCAACCGGCGTTGTGATTGGAGGAGATGTCTTTCTCCTCTTCTGGGCAGCAGCTCCCCTCTTCAGAGCTGTCGCGCCAAATGTCCAGACGAGTAACGGGACTCTGAGACAAACAGATGCTATTCTCATCAGTCATGTGATAATGTAATGATATGGTTCTAAAAAGAACGTCCTTTGAGAACTAACACATCATTATCACCGTCTACACTACCTAACGAGTCAGTACTCCCTTCAGCAATGCAAACCAGTCCGTATGGGTTGTTCAAGAAATTCATTTACAGTATGGCAAGCTACTCCTGTTATTTGAGACACGGTTGTGGTAGACTCAATCACAGACAGGATAAAGATCATGGCCAATAAAGTTAACCTCCGATATCCCTTCGTTATGATTGCATTGATGAGGGTCCGGCCTTGATTTACAGGGCCTGAAGGATTTCTGCACAGTCTGCTTTGGGCCTCTTGTAGTAAACATAATTTCCCTAAAACTGTGTTGATGATCATAGTCCCTCCGAGTATAGTGGCCGGCTGGTATATACCCTTCTTAACAACCACAACTAAAATGAGACTGTAGACTCTGTACTAGTCGTTGCACTAGAGTCCACACGGGCATTTGACAAGCGACATAAAACAGGAAGGTTGAACGAGCAAAAGGAGAGAAAAGAAATAATAGGACAAAAAGTCCCTGGTTATTCCGATCCGCCGACAATACGACTTGGCGCTGCTTAACAACCCACCCTGTGCTAGTATGTACCTCAACTGCTACAGAGGATGGGGTTGCTGGAAGACTTTACTGAGCGTTTCCCTTGGACTACTACCTACCTCAATCCAGGTAGATCCAGAGCTTCCGATCATGAAGGGAGACAACGGTTGAACCAACTTCTGCGGCGGATTGTCTCTGAGAGGGTATAGAAACCGTCCGACTTTATCCACGGGAGAGTGGTATATTCAACGTTTTCAGTATATGGCCTTCATGAGCCGATGAGTCCCTTGTATATCCTTTCGTGAATGACTGGAAAATTTTGTGATGAACAATATGTTCAATCAAAGGTTGTAACATGGGCGCGCTGGCCACTAGAATGGCAACTACCCACTGGACCGTTGTCCAGATCAATACCATTTTGCGTGTGTGAATGACGGTTGCGAAGTCGAGAGTCAGCGTAGTAGTCATACGGGGGATAGTTGTGACAATCGTTCTGTACGTTGTCAGCTTCCGTATACGAGGTCAGAAATAGATAACACATACGAAACTCCTAGAGCAAAATTCCCAGGAATAGCTAATTTCTGCGATAGCGCTATGCGCAATCTTAGAATCATGGGAACCGGCGTCAGGATGATCATAACATCTGTGATCATGTCTACCATGCCCACTTGCCGTATACGTAGCAATTGGGTTAACACAGTGACCTGCTGGATCCTAAGTAGTGAATGATTGCTTTCCTGGATACCACTACTAGTAGTACTGGAATGGAGTCAAGGCGCACTAAATCCCTAGTCTCCTATATCGTTGCTTAATTACTATATTATCTTGAATAGAGTTGACCGCCGCTCATACTAGTCTAGATACCTTTGTCTGAGGGATTATTAGGACGATGGATAGGACGGCAGGAGGAAGTCTTTTAGTCAAGTAGTCTAGAAATTAAGTCGCCATCCTCCCACCCATAGTCATAGTTGGTATGTCATATCAGTAAGCTCGCCACTTATTCTAACGGCTATCACCGTCGTAGGTTTGTGTTGCCTGCAGAAGTAGCTATGCGCCCGGCGCTCATCTCCACTATCGTGTTACATACAGAAATGCCAGTGCATTAGTTAATTATCTGTGTCCCGGCCAGACTTTGATTGGTATGATGATTTCAATGTTTCGAGCCCGGCTTGTCACGACAAATTATCCACCGGCGGTGAAATTGGCAGTTGCCCAGCTAGCATATATGTCCACTCATATTAACTATGCATATATGCATAATCATGCCATAGTGCTAATCACTGAATGCCAGTTTCGCTAGATTATGGAACTGTAAACTATGGCATCTACGGGAATGGGAGATTGGCCAATGCACCGCTGACTTTTGTACTTGCAGTTGCTGCCGGACAAGACCCAGTCGATGGTCAAGTTAAATGATTGGTAGACATATTTGTCATAAAGCCTAGAGAGTAGTGAGTGGTCAGAGTTATTCCTGGTATTAACAGCCTTGAACAACCGACACATTTGATTTTTACACGCCTGACCTAAACTTGCGTTCGTTGAATCGTCAACTGGTGGCTGATGATTGGAGAAAGACTATACAGCCCATGGCTGCTTCAACACAATTGGAAGAACAGTTTCCCAGTTTGTCACATATTGTTTATCTCCTTTCCCCATGGATAATTTAGTATTGTTACCTCGATCTGCGTGCTTTACTGAAGATTCGGTACATGAATACTCTTGAACGGGGGACCAAACTGCCCCATCTTGTTAAGGGACTTCGGGAACAAGCTCGGTGTTAAAATAGATACCTTCTAACCGTATCATGGATAGATAAGCTTTTAAGAACGATACCTCACAAGTCTTCCAATAATTGGCGAAAGTTCATATCTACTACTCACCCGAAGAGCTCGGCCATGTTTCAACAGGAGGGCGGGGACGAAGCACTCATTCAACCTGCCTCTTTCATGAAACAATTTGGTCAACGGCCCTACTAGCTTCTAGATTCCTTTCCTAACTTGGACAAACTTTATTTACGACGAATGGCTGATCCCTGCTGGCCAGTAGCGCATGCTGCTGATAATACCCATTGAGATATGCATGAAATGCGTTGCTCTATCCCATTTGGCAAAGAAGTCCATATGTAAGGCAGGTGACCAATTTCCGGAACCGTTCTATCTGCATAATTAATCTCTTTGAATCCTGCACATTCGCATACGCCAAGCTGTATCTAGTTCTGTCCACGATCCTTCGTCGATTTGACCTCCTATCATGGAAGGGGTATCGACTACGTCCTTGACTCTTTGCTTGGTAAACCGGGCCCATCGTCATTAAATCCAAAGCCTCAGGACTAAGATTACGGATGTTGATGGGAAACTGTCTGACGTGGGATTATCAGCACGGTGAGGAGGTGTAGTATACAATTCCACGTGGTCAGGGTCCGAAGTAAGGCGTTAGCGTGTTGATCCCTGAATCCCTGAAATCAATCGCTTTCTATGGCTAGTCATGTGTAGATGTATGAGTATCGTAATCTCCAATTTGTTGCTGTCTCCACATCGCTACTAGCTTAACCAATTTGAACATAGATATATTGCAAGTGTCGAATTAGAGTTCCGTGCACTGATACCTTTACATTGTAAGAAGCCCTTACAGATAGCATGGCCCTTAGAAGCGCGCCGTAGCTATATTAAATTCCTATTATAGTCCTGCATGCCTTACGACTACTATCTCGAGAGTACGGAGAACTATCCGTAGTAGTGCGGAGTGTTGGTGAGGCATCTTTCGCCCGGCGACCCATAGCTTCTCGGCTTACGGCAAGCTCGGCTAGTGATTGGTCCAGCGCACTCACCTGTTATTTTTGAGTACGCACTTCGACGTCTGACCACGTACCCTTTCTTCCATGTGTATTGCACTCGGCCTTTGACAAATTTGTTTAGCCATCACTGGTCCTTTCTTGGGACTACGAATGGAAAGAAACCCCAGGCGCAGCCGGTTATTTCCAGATACTTACCTAAAGCTTACAATCAGACAATTTATGTTCTCCCTAGAACGGTTTTAGATGTGCAAAATCCATTATGGGGTGTATGAGTCCTTCTTTTGTAAAAAAAAAAAGACATCTATTCTCTGGTCTGCAATGTGACTTCGCTTCCTGGATGGTGTAGATTTATATGCAAGACGCTACGAGCACCACTTGCTCTTAATGAAGCAACAATATTCGCTAACAGTAGAAGCGTGACGGGCTAAAATGGGAGCGGCAGTTATCTCGATCCTTGCACACGCGTAACTCTAACCTAGTTCTCTTGACCATAATGCCGCCATTCAGCGCTTTAATCGTCTTAACTGTAGTCAAACGGGGCTAAAATTGAAGCGAGGGAAACTGGCTGGCCCCGAGCCAACGCTTTCAGGGGCTGTGCCTGGGTTGAACCCGTTGAGATTCTCATCATCTATAGGCCTGGCTCTGATCAGTCCCTCGCTATGAAATCGACCGAAGTCCGATTGAATAGTTCACGATACCCCGCATTTCCCAGGAACGAGAATGTCGGTCACTGCTCGTTGCACATCGCTGCCTCCTATGACCGAGCAATGGTAGCCATTCAATTCGTGCAAGAATAAATCCCGACACTTCAAGATCGCCAGCTCAATATGAATGCATGCTGTGGAGGCGGGGAACAAACCACTATTACCAATGCACATACTTAAGGCTCATTCGATAGTCGACAGCTAGCTGTCTCGTTATAGATCTGGTCAGAATAGATCCCTTCAAAAGTCTGACACGCACAATTGATAATGATGTTTCTTTCGCGAGTGTTTTGCGTCCTTGCTGCGTTAGCATGTGTGTCTGCGGGTAGAGAAACTTGTGTCGTGCCAGCCGGGGGCTCCAACGCCACCGATGATGCCCCTGCGATTGTACATGCCTTTAAGAAGTGTGGCCGTGGGGGAAAGGTAGTCTTCAAGCCAACGACATACCATGTCAATTCTGTTATGAACATCACTTGGCTAGAGGATGTCGACATTGACATTGGAGGAACACTGCTGGTATGTCCTTCCCAGTTCTTGTTCATTCATAATTGCATAAGTTTACGCTGGTCTCTTTAGTGGGGTACGAATATTCAATACTGGTTAAATCACTCTTTACCAGTCGGGTATCAGAACCAATCCACTGCTTTCATTCTTGGAGGAAATAATGTTCGCATCGACGGCCATGGTAGAGGAACACTCGACGGCAATGGTGACACTTGGTACCAATGGATACAAGAGCAGCCCAATACCTCCAACTATCCTGGTCGACCACATGCCATCACTTTCAGCGGCCTCACAAATTCAGTGGTCCGAGGCCTGAGGTTCCTACGCAGCCAGATGTGGTATGCTAATCTTCGATCCCTCGCCTAGAATGTTGAACTAAGACCCAGGCAGGACAATGTCTATCATATATAGTCATCACGTTGAACTCGACAGCATACTCGTAAACAACACCGGAAATGTGGTCTCGAGCTGTGAGTGCCATCTCTTGGGCCCAGCCCAAATATCATATCACTAACCAGAACCAGCAAACACGGATGGAGCAGATACCATTCGATCCTCCCACATCAAGTTCAACAACTGGACTGTATATAATGGTGATGATAGTATCTCACTCAAGGGCAACAGCACAGACATCACCATCACAAACTCCAATTTCTACAATGGACTAGGAATTGCATTGGGTAGCATCGGTCAGTACAAGGATCAGTTCGAAACCATCGAGAGGCTCAACGTGAGCAATATCAACTACCACAATACCCTTCATGCGGTAGGCCAATCCCACAACGTGCATGCCGATTTCTTTTATTGACGAGCATTTATCATGATTAGGTGTACGTTAAAACATGGACAGCTGATCAGAACGGCTATCCACCTAATGGTGGCGGAGGTGGCCTCGGATGTAAGTTGCACTTAGAGAACGCACTTACACACAATATATACTCTTGAAACAGAAAGGCTAACTACGTCAATGATATAGACATCTCTGATATGACGCTCAAAGACCTTAAAGCTACATCTCTTCGTGGGGCCGCGATTGCAATTTCGCAGTGTACTCGATTCAGCGGCGCCCCTGGGGAAGGAAACTGCACGAACTCGGAGTTCCAAATCCGTGACATCTCGGTACTCAACCTGAGCGGAACAACAGAATCCACTCGAGTCGGAAGTTTCCAGTGCAGTGCCGTTGCACCATGTACTGACATTGCGCTCTCTGATATTAATCTGAGACTGTCAAATGGCACGGCGGCCTCAGAGTATCTATGCGGAAATGTGGAAAATCCGAAGGGCTTTGAATGTACAGGCCCGGTGTGTGAAGGAGGAAGTTCAACGGGAGAGTGTTGAAGCTGATTAACGTTAGAGGCGGAGGCAGACATGTATCCAGGTCGAAGAACGAAAGATTAAGAATTGCTTCCGCCATGAACGCAATATGTGACAGAATGGTACGGCTACTACGATCTTCTACAAGTGCTAGTTATTAAAACGTTTGTTATCTACCTATCTTCAATTTAATTGTAGTATTACATTAAGAAAATACATGGATATCGGAGCATCGCGCAATTTCGGGGAGTGCTCGGTGAAAGCTCGACCGAGGCTGTGCCGTACTACTAATACTACGAGCACCTTGCCTATTAAATTGTCTTTTTGACCCATAATAGTCTTTTCTGAAACCATATAGTTAAGTATATACCTTCCATGCTTTTACTAAGTAGAGACAAATCATTGTCACTCTCTTAGATATGTTTGTTAGACGTATAAGTTACATAGTGGCTATAAGGAAAGAATAACACATCAATGGTCTGAGTACCGTTACTACCCACTGACCACTCCGCGCACGCACCTTCCCACGCACCCCCCAACAGCTACCCCTAATTAGAAAGTAGTAGGCCAAACTTGGAATCGCCGTTTTCTTCAGAGATCTTCCGAGCCGAAGGAATAAGTGGATGGCATTGCGACATCGGTGTGATATCATCGCCACATCGCAATAATCGACTACCTTCAACCCTCAGAATCCTTTAATAGTTCAGTGTCTCACCTCGCCAGCTAGCGTGCCAGATCTCCGCCCCCGTGATTTTCATTATATCACCATTGGCCAGCAGCCAGTAAGCCCCATGTCTCGTTCTAATATAACTTTTAGGCATAGCACCTTTCCCACGTGGTTCGTCTTGTATACTCAGCTTGTTCATGATCTGCGAGACCCTTGATCTGCGTTGGCTTTCCTTGGATATCTATTATCTACCACACCATTGGTATCACTCCCATGCAGCTAGATCTTGACCACACAGAGATCGTCCCTTGGATCTAAATATGCAGGCTGAGACTTGTCTCACTATTCTACATTTCTCAGAGCTCACCCTGCATACTCAAATTGTTATTGATCAGCAACTACGTCTACTGGATAGCGCTAAAGTATTAGCGGCTCCTCCTTATCATGCCTCTTATCCTGTTCACCCCGTCTAGGCAACGGCGTCATGTATATGGCCATAAAGGGTCATTTGGAAAGATGAATGGTTCGCAAATCTGTTCGGATTGGCTATGCTGTTTTCGTAGATTGATATTAGTACTTGGAAGTTGCTACACTTGCCTGTTCTGATACTTAGTACTTGGAAAGTGTGAATCCTTCGCGAGGATCCCGGCTTGGGAAACACCCTATGTTCCATGGCTCAACTCAATTCCTGAATTGACAAGGCATTCAGGACCTTGTTCTCCTTAGTATAGCCAACAGCCAGCAGGTTATCCAGTCCCTCCAGAGTAGGTGGGAACTAGATAAATAGGAGAGATGCACCCAGTGCATGACAGGGAGTGGACAGCACAATCACAACTTTCATCGTTCTCCTCCATTGTTGATACTGATCACATCCATCTGTGAAACATGGAGACACATATTAATACGCACTCTCAGCTGATCAAACGTCTCAGGGCACAGCCTGTCTCTGTTCCGAACTTACTACCCATCTTCTCATCTTGGCCTGGCGCCGTTAATCCTCACTGGAAGGCTTTAGTTCCTGTGATGAATGCAAGAATTGACAGGTATAGTGCTCGATTCCATCGATCATTACATACTGTTTGATACTTCTCGACACTACATCATACGTACATCTCTGCTTCGTTCTATATACTATTACCTTTTCACTTCATTCATACCTCTGAGAAAGTTCAACACTAATAATCAAAAAGCCTATTCCCAATGCCAGTGAAGGCTACAAAGCTCAAGAGGTGTGACTTTGCTCATCTCGCCGCGACCCGGTGGCCCCTGGCTGGCTTCAAAGAACTATATATTCTCGCCTTCCTGTCTCTTTGGCTCGTCACCTGGGATGACCAAATTGATGATACGAAAGGTTCCCTGAGCAACGACTTCGAAGCTGCTGAGCAGCACCGTCGTGAAACACTTTACTTTGTGGCTCAATGCCTTGACCTGGATCTCACTGAAGACTTACCTCGTAGTTCCAATGACTCTATCTTTGTACCAGACGACCCTATTGTCCAAAGTTTTGATGTGATTGGCGAAGCGCTTCGTGACGCATATACATATGGTTCGTTGCCGCCCTTGCCTTTTCGCTTTGTTCTTCTGTCTATTCCTAGAATTTGAAATGACTCTAACTTTCCTTGGTCTTCAGAGCAACGGCACAGGTTTCTTAGAGAAGTGTCTCTTTTCATGGTAACGTCGCATATGGAACAGAAAGCAAAATTAGAAGGGCAGATTCCCAGTTCCGAGGAATACTGGAGAGTGCGGTTGGGCACTAGCGCAGTTGGTGTAATTTGTGCTGCTAATGAGTGAGTATATCTGGATGCTTTAGGTTCATGGCTGACACCGCGGTTGCCCCGATAAAGATATAGCCTTCGGTCGGTAATACCCTATGATATCATGGAGGATCATGATATGAGAATAATGTGGAACGAGGTGAACGTTATCGCTTCAATGTAAGCCACTTCTCTACCAAAGATGAATTGCTCCAGTCATAGAGAGAACCCTTGCGGCAAGCTGCATACTAACATTCGTTTCCCCATGGAAGAGTCAATGACATTTATTCTCTGAAGAAAGAGATGGTGCGTCTAATGATTGACGAGCTCGTCGGTTAACCAGACCTAATGATGCATCCAGGCTCAGGATACCATCTATAGCCTTATCCCTATCCTCTGCATGTCGCTCGGGAGCCCGCAAGCAGCTATAGACAACGCAATTCGGTCACTCATCCAATCTGTGGGTCGGTTCAATATAGCGGCCAACCGACTGATGGGTGGGATCGAAGAGGAGGATAGGTTCTCACTATCCCTAGGAGTCAAGAGAGATGTAGAGGATTTCATTCGTAGTTGCCAGTTCAACTGTACGGGCTGCCTGTACTGGACGTAAGTGGCAACCCTGTCTTCTACAGCACTACCAGCTCCTCTGACCCTAATCATTTCAGTCTTCGTACGAATAGGTACGGTGTTCGGTTTGCTCCGCGGAGCTCCGATGGTGGCGTTATTTTGCATTTATAAAAAAGCGCTTAGCTGTGCTGGATACAGTTTGAAGTTATTGCAGCAGGAACTCAGATGTAATGTATTGTTTTGGAAGAACGTGTAAAGATAGGACGCCATTCAATATTTGTCCATAATATATATGCTGAGAAAAGCCATCTGGCGACCGTCTCGTAATGTGCTAAGGATATAGTCATAGTCACAAAAATAAAGGGAAAACAAAGAAAATCAAAGGTCCTAGCCGGATTCGAACCGGCGTTACCGGAAGATTTGATCTTCCCATACATATACAGGGTATGTATATTGTTCATCAAAATCCGGTGGGATAACCACTACCCCATAGGACCGTTGGGTGGCGAGAAATTGCCATTAAGTCGTTCTTGAAAGATGATAGCTCTGTCCCATCTACACCAGGTTGTTATTGGATCAAATCCCTCTTCAAAAGTCAGAAAAATGTGGGTAAATTCGAAATCGAGCTCTTAAATTCAAGGTCAGATAGAAAGGGTTCGAAATAGCAAAGTGGCCATCTGGTGATGTCATACAACGAGCTTCAGGTCTGCTCCGCGGGCTGTGCCTTACTTAAGACCCAATGAATGATACGCACACATGCACTCTTCATCATACGGCATTGTGTGTAGTTGGAGAGTACGTAAACCTTGAAGATGTCTGATAACTGTTTAAATGGAATAGGACAGAATAGATCGGTCAGTAGCTTTCGACTGGAAAAGAAAAGACCATCTAAAAGCTTGGAGATCAAAGAAAAACTTGCTAGCAAAGAAAGGATGAGAGCATTGCGGCAGGCGGTCTCGTGACGTTCTGGTAATACCAATACAAAGCCCTACTTGCAGTGAAATCATACTGCAAAAACCCCACCCGCGCGGGCAAAAAATTCAAGAAAAGGACCCCGCCAAACACCTCGTAATGTGTACTGCTACGTAAGGAAAGGAAGGACTCCTCTTACTAGTAAATACTTGGACTCCATCTGAGTTCTCCAGCTCCGTTTCAGCCCATTTTTCCTTCTTCTCCTCGTGAGCTTCCAACATCCGCTAGATTAGTGCCTCTTTGATCGTTATCGACTCCTCGCACCACGGCGAGGATCATTCATACTATACACAATGGCTGACACTCAGGCCCAGCAGGCCCCCGAGGTTGGTAAGTGGTTCACTCTGAGTACCCCTCTTCTTTCTGCCGATTGAAAAAGGCTCCGTTGTTTTGTGGGTTTCCTTCCCGCTTGCTTCATCGTCATGGCATGGGTCCGGTTGGCGGCACGTTTAGCAGCTCGAAAGCTGTAGAGGAACACGGGCACTCAAGGGATAATTTATTTCCTCTATATACGGGCGCTTCTATTGCTATTTGAATGTACCCTCCAGAGCGCTTTGTCATAACTAATCAAAACCTCGAACCATTCTCAGACTACACCCTCAACAACCCCGACACCTTGACCAAGTACAAGACTGCTGCCACTATCTCGCACAAGGTCCTCGACGCCGTCGCAGGTGCGTAGTTTCCGGGTTTACATACCGTGGCGAGCCCGCCGTTTTCAAGGTCTAGATTCATATTCTAATCCGGTTCTTTAGCACTGTGTGTGGAGGGAGCAAAGATCGTGGAGATCTGCCAGAAGGGTGATGAGCTTCTCGATGAGGAAATTGCTAAGGTCTACAAGGGCAAGAAGATCACTAAGGGTGCGTTACCATCGTAGTCCATGTTACTGCTAGTTAAAAGCCCCATGCGTATGACATTAACAAGCCGTTGCCGGAAAAAGGTGTCGGTCACCCCACGACTGTCTCTCCCAGCTCCCATGTGACCCCTTACACTCCGTTGGTTTCCGACGCCCAGGAGGCCGAGACTACCCTGAAGGCCGGTGAAATCGCCAAGATTCAGCTCGGTGCCCAGATCGATGGCTTCGGAACCATTGTTTGCGACCAGGTTGTTGTCGGCCAGGACGAAGTGACCGGCCGCGAGGCTGACCTCATTACCGCGACTCACTACGCCAACGAGCTCCTGCTCCGTCTCATGGTGCCCCCTGGCCTTCTGGCTACCGGTACCGAGGAGGAGAAGAAGAAGGCTGCCGCCGAGCGGGCTCCCACTCAGGCCCAGATCTCCCAGCTGGTCGAGAAGATTGCCAAGGCCTACGACTGCAACGTGGTTGAGAACACCACTAGCTGGCTCTTCGAGCGCAACGAGATCGAGGCAGAGAAGAAGATCATTCTCTCCCCGGGCACCGGCGTGAAGGGTGAGGGTGTCCCCGACGTTGGAGAGGTTTGGGGTGTGGAGTTGGGTCTCTCCCTTGGCTCCGGAAAGGTCAAGACTCTGCCCCTCCGTTCTACCCTCCACCGCCGTACCACTACCACCTACGGCCTTAAGCGTCCCAGCTCGAGACAGACTCTCTCGGAGATCGTCAAGAAGTTCGGCCAGTTCCCCTTCAGCTTGCGCCAGTTGGATGATGAGAAGGCCGCTAAGGTTGGTGTCGTCGAGTGTGTCCGTGGCGGTGTCCTGAGACAATATGAGCCTGCTGGTGATGCTGACAATGCCCCTGTCTCCCGCCTCTTGACTACTATTGGTATGTTCATCTATTCTGTGGCATCGGAGGAACCTTCAGAGCCTTTCCTCCCATAGTCCGGCTTTCTTTTGACTGACCGACATGTAGCTATCACCAAGAACGGTATCACCAAGCTCACTGCTCCCGCCGCACCTGATTTCACCAAGGTCAAGTCCGACAAGAAGATCGAGGATGAGGAAATCCTCAAGATTCTTGAGCGTCCTCTGTCCAAGTCGACTGGCTCCAAGAAGAACAAGAACAACAAGAAGAAGGCCGCCAAGAAGGCTGACTCTGGCGACAAGGAGTAAATAAGTCGTTTGACTCGGTCAACTTTGGCATATCTAGTGAATTGTTGGATAGGCAGATGGAATTGCTCCAGGCCATGGTCGGGGCTCCTTTTCGGAGTGCTCCAGGATGTTGATCAATCATGTCAATCAAATCCCTTTGTCCACGCTGGAGAGAGGCGAATTTGTTCCGCGAGCACATGGAGCGAGAGGCATAGGAGGATAGGAGAAGCCATATAAGATTTCCTGTCTTTTACCACGGTGCCCTCTTGAAAACCCTTGGCACGTAATTAGTTGAAAAACGCGAAAGTTATGTATGAGGTGAATATAAAAAGAGAGTTATGAATTTCTGCTTACGGTTCTATTGAGCTCGATGGCTGCATAGTCTGCGTTTTTGTCTTTCCTGTAGCCCGGATAGTCTCGAGGTTACTATTATGATACTGTCGACCAGGAGGACCAGCTCTATTAACTGCAGGTTATTTAAATCTATGCTACCGCTGAGTGATGTCGGACACGCAGCTTGAGATTCCGTGACAGCCAACATATCGGCACCATAGCTACGTCTTATTGACGGCGCTGAAGTATGCGCATTCTTGCCCTAGAAAAGAGCAAGGGCAACATATCCTCTTCGAGGATCGTCAGTCTGATCTTTCTTTCTCCTCATCCGATTTTCTACAACAATGTATCGTGGAGCATTGGATACACACGTGGAACCCATTCAATCTCGGCAATGCTCACTTTCTTTGTCCTCGTTAGGGTGAAAGCCATTACTTCTCCCTTTCCCTTGTTCGCTCCCTTTGACTTCTTGTCTGACAGCATCTGATACGAGCAGGTAATTCTCCATCTCTGAAGAGTGTAGCAGACAGATATATATGGCAGCTACTTGGAGTTTCCATGACCGAAAGGATTTATGTGGTTTCATGAACGGGAATAAATCGAACCTATTTTCTCTTGACTTGTCAGACGGATATGCATTTCCATCTTTGAAAAGTGTTGGACTTGAGTTGATTGTGGTGCCTTGTGGTGGTCACTCGGCGCTGTCATTTGGTGGTGTGGGCCAAACAGGCAGGGCTGCTGCTTGTTCCGTTTCCAATCCTGATTCCTCTTCCAATCTTCCTTCCATCAGTCTCGCCCCTTCCAGTCCCCTCATCCTTATCTTCTTTCTCGACCCCTCGCAGTTGGGGATTTCATATTTCCAGTCTGGGGCTAGCATCTTTATACATGTAAAGAAATCTGGAGCCCATTATTTGTGGTTCTCGCTCAGCAGCGTGATTCTCTTTCCCGGCTATTGGCTCACCTCAGACCTTGTCATCCTCTGAAAATCACCCTCACTACAGATCTTCTGTTCACTTCTCCCCAGCTCTCGCTTTCAGTAACCGGAGTTAAAGTGATTCTTGGGTAGTGTATGTTTTGTTGTATCCGTGGGGTAGGCTGGCATCTATCCACCTGTGCATGAAGGCCAACCCCTCCTATCTGTCATCAATCTGCTTGATACTTGAAGCAACACAGAAACCTCACTCATCACGTCCGTCACATTTGCGTGGCAGACATATTCGTGTTATATCTCCGGTTTCTCTGCTGTGAATTCTATTGTCCTGTTTGACGGCCTTCTGTTACTTCTCCTTTTGGATTCCCGTTCCTCTTCTATCATCCAACACCTGCTTTCATTTCGCACTACTTCCATCTCACGCCTCTCCTCCTCTCTCAAGAGAATAGAACGATCTCAAATCTTGTCGGATATCTTATCCTTGTGTCTTCCACTTTTGGCCTCTCAACCAAGCCCTGCTAGGCGCTCTCTTTCCAGATACAGTCTGTTCTCGAGAGCGTGTCTGGGTATCTACGCTACAAGCAAAGACCGGACGTCGCCTTTCTCTGAATTTTGTCAGAGTTTACCTCAGAGGTCTCTCACATTCTTGGTGAGTTCTTCTCTATATCTACATGGCTGCCGTCGCCTACCCCTTTGTTCGTCCGCTGTCAGGAGACCGCCGTACTGCTTTTTGGGAGTCCACTATGTACGCAGCGGTGTGTCTTGGTGGTTTTTGCATTTAAAAGTTCTGGCTTACACATTTCCCTTGCTTGCCGTTGCTATTCTGCATATGGTTGATTGTTCCCATCTTACAATACCTGCTTTTGATGCATCATCTGTTAACCTATTCAAGACAAAGAACACGTCGTTTTACTAAACAACACGACTTCCCGTCACAAGGGATTTACGAAGGCTTCAAAACCTCATTTATAGGCTACTAAAGGCAGTCCCCCTCTTTTAACAAATAGGCCTCAGTGGATCTACTGTCTCTCTATCTCCACGATCCCTGCGGCGAGTCAAAACGACCTACTGGTAAGAAACCCTCACTTTGAGTTTCGTAAGAAAATTAAATGATTAAAATCACAAACTGAGATGTGGCTACTCAATTCTGACTGGAAGCCTGCTAGTTTGAACGCGCAAAATTTTTGTGGTTGGTTGGCAGCCTCCGCGGCGTACCCCCTACGAGGCGTGATTGGGAACTCGTCCTCGAAAACTCCCGTCGCTTCTAACTCCGCAATCTTCCTCCTTCCCATCAACCCGCAGACAGCGCGCGGGCTGGCCACGTCTCCCACCGGCACCGCAGGGCACTTTCGCTGTCTGCTTGCGGGTTCTATTTATTAGTGAGTATTTCTCTGTTTTTAAATAAACGAAATAACTTCTATGATCCTTTGCGCTAACCCTGCGTCCCCCAGGTGTTGCAACTTTTCGAGCCCTGACTCTCCAACGATGGCTCCGAATCTCCGCTCTTCGTCCCATGTCAGGTCGAACGACTCTCGCCCATCAACGCCGCTCCATGCGCCAGATGCCCCGAGTCCCGCTTCTTCATTCACCGAATCTACGAGGCCTCGAAAGCAACGACGGACGGGCAGACACAGCCGTGTAGCCACAGATCCTCCGCATGGAACACCATCTCAAGATCAATCGCAATTAGGGCAGTTTAGGACTGGGATATCGGATACGGTCAGCGATTCACAACTGTCAGAGAAAGGCGCGGAATGGGTTGAGCCACCGGTGAGGGCTCCGGCTCCGAGCTACAGAGACACGCCGTGGTCAGCTGTTTCGAGTGACAACAACCCAGTCCTTGCAACTATGCGTCCCTTAGGGACAATGCCATCTGCAGCGGACATGCGCAAAGCAGGATTGGGCCCTCTCAAGCCAAGTACACAGAATACTACTGCCAAGAAGGACCAGCGATCAGTGCAGAACGGGGATAAAGAGATCAGCAAGCCGCAAACACCATTGACACCTGCTGAAGAACCGATGCCTGAGCCTGTTATACCAAAGGACAATAATGCGCAGGATGTGACTGCATTTACAACACTTCCTGTCCCTGATTCAACCGATGTTGATGTAGTGAAACTTCGCTCCGCGGTTGAGAACGCCCTCCATATGGCTTCCGAGACTGGTAATCGTCCAGTCATTCGTGGACTACTCCGCCTCTGGGAGACATGTGGCAAAGATTCTTTTGCTCTATCTGTTTTGGAGGGTGTTTGTGGAGCGAATCCTGGGGCCCGTGAACAATCTGTGTTCCAGACTGTGATGCGCACTGCCTGGAAAGAGGTGCAGTCAGAGGAAAACACAGAAACATTGCCTGCTGCGACGCCAGCTATGGGGCGTACGCGGTCTGCCAGTAGTGTGTCTTCATTGTCTTCTGCTAAGTCACTTGATGCCGAAACATTCGCCCCGGGAATGGCACCGGGAGCGGCGAACGCTCGCTCTCGCGGTAGAGGAAAGCACTCCAAATCTACACAGAAGGCTGTGGATAGTGAAACTTCAGAACCATCAAGTCGCCGCTCCGCGTTCCCATCTAGTGATACAATTCTTCAGCGAAGGCTTGCATTGGAAGAAAATCCCGAATTTTCGGCAGAAGCTGTCAAGGCCAAACGGACTCGCTTACAGAGGTCTTTCCCGAAAATTACTGCTACTGAGAGTAGACTCCGTTCATCACTTGCTTCTGAACCCCCTTCTGGCATCACAACCCCTGCAGCAACTACGGAGAGCCAGTCCCAGGCCGCCGCCGACAGAGCCGTTGCCGACCAGAAGGAAAGATTAGAGAGTCCGGCAAGTAGCGATGCTGGAGACAACCGGCGCTTAACCCCTACAATGGCTAACAATAGAGAGAATGGCGAGGAGAACAATGATTTCTGCCGTGAATGCAACGGAAGCGGTCAGCTTTTATGCTGCGATGGATGTGTGAACTCTTTCCACTTCTCCTGTCTCAATCCACCCCTGGACCCTGCAAACCCGCCAGAAGGGGATTGGTTCTGTCCAAGATGCTCCATCCTGAAACCCATGGGTACATTGCTTGTCGCTGTGGATAAGGTTCCGCATAAAGACTTTGCTCTACCCTCTCGCTTGCGTAGCTATTTTGCTGGTGTGCAAACGGGCGATAAAGGACAATACGATGAGGTCTTACCCTTTCCCAGAATCAATCCTCGGAGTGGGAGGAATCGCTCTGGTCGGTATGATGATCCATTCCTATTGAGAACAGTGGACGCGAAGGGCAAACTCATTCTTTGCCATGGCTGTGGCCGTACCACTAACGGTCGTCGGCCCATCATTCAATGCGATTTCTGTCCTCTCGCCTTCCATATGGACTGTATAGATCCTCCTCTAGCTATACCCCCCGCCCAAAAACCGGGGAGTGATCGTACATATCATAGCTGGATGTGCCCCGACCACAGTTGGCATGACAAGTTCTTTATTGTTCAAGACGAGGAGGGATACGATTTGGTGAAACGTATTCGCCGTCCGAAACATCCTCGTTTGATAGACGTTGAAATACTTCCGGATGAAGAAGAAGACGAAAAGATAGAGGAGCAGGAGGAAGAGGGTATCATGTATCGTGTATCGGAGAAAGGGATTAAGCTCGATTTTATCCAACGAGTCAAACGGTCAGTATATTCTCGGGTAATACGTCCAACTTCACCTCATCTAATAATATTTGCAGAGAAAACGAAGAACTTGCGATGAAAAAAGCTGTCTCTGACAAGTACTTTGAGTATGTTCGCCAACGACATGACGAACTAACGTCCAAGGCCCACGCGTTCTATTCAGCCCAGAATCCAGAAGCGATAGAAGAGGACACAACTACTGCGATTCTCAACTCCCGTACCGCCGCTGAGCGAGAGGCCGCGGCAAATTTGATCACCTTTGCCCAAGGCAACAGTGCCGAAGTCGAGGACAGCAAGATCAGCCTCCTCATCGATCAGTTGAAAGCAAACGTACCGCCAGACTTTATGCCTTCAGCCGAGAGTGAGATTGCATCACTCCAATCTTTGCAACGATTGATCGAACTACGCATAACAAATCTAAGGACTCAGTCTGCTCCAACTGAATCTCCGGCCGCCAATCCTCCAGACGTTGAGCTTATGGACGCTCAACCAACCAGCCCATCTGCCAGCACATAACCAAAGGTATCTATTGGTGATATCCGAGCTTTGTGCCTCCTGGGTTATATGAATATCGCTCCTCATCCTACTCTGTCTCCGAGCGCTTGTGGCTATTCATCCCCCCATAATACATGGGCAGTGAATTGGACAAGCTTCTCTGTTGGCGTAAGGAAAGCGTTTAATGTTGTGACGATCTTGTTGTTTCGGCAGACTTCCAATATCCCATACTTCTCATTTTATAGTTCCTAGTGATGGTTGGTTTGAGGCATACGCCGCACACAACCAAAGTGGATACATATCCTTTTTGTACGATATTTTAGATTTCTCTATCTCGCATTATTTGGCAAGGCATGGAGGGTGGGATTTTTAGCATTCTCATTGGTGTGTTTTTCTTCTCTGTTTCCTCTGTAGAGCTTTTATGTCGCAGAATCTTTTCAGACTGGTCAATGATAGTGATCTGCAGTCCGCAATCTTACAAGCCCCAAAAAAACACAATTTCCAGAATACAACAGATAGGAATAAATCTAGATATACAACGACCCAAAAAAAACTACAACAAAACACAACAAGACTACATCGCGAGTTCCAAACAAAAGTCTTCAAAGCATATACACGCCGAAATAGAGATGAGGAGCAGTGCAAAGTCGATGCAAAGTTCGCGTTACTACATGACTTTCGTGGACTTGGGATTCCGTGTTCATGTCTGTGGAGTTGAGACATGAAATTGAGGATGGTGAAACGAATATTGCGTATCATGTGTAGGGTAATTTCCAAGTCTAGTCTTGTGGGGTGTTGTTTTCAGTTTAGAGGAATTTCTTGGGCATGTTTGCACGGCGGCGCTTGTAGACGATGTAAGAGACTGCCAAGAAGACTTGGAAGGCGATGATGAGGAAGATGAAGAAACCCATGCGTGGAGTAGAGGCGGTGATTGCTATTCATAATTTTAGTATCTGGTTTATGAGCGGATACCTGGGAGGGATAGACATACCACTGAGGACAGAGCCCTGGAGGTGCTCAGTCAAGGTCTGGTGAGAAGAGCGGAGGGTATCCTGGAGCTGGTTGAAGCGGCTGTGGTAGTCCTTGCCTTCCAGATCGCGCTGAATGGTTTGCAGCATCTGCTCAATCTTCTGGAGGCGAGCGTCGAGACCAGCGACTTGCTCCTTAGTTGCGAGTTTCTGCTGGAGATCGAGGTGGCGGTTCTCATTTTGCTTGCCTTGGTTGCTGATCTCGCGGATGACATTGCCGGTGGCCTTGTTAACGAGTTCGATGCGAGCAGCGAGGTCAACGAACTGGTCGGTCCGGGGTTGTTGCTGCGTTTGGGCTTGGGCGGCGACTGGCTGTTGCTGTTGCTGTTGCTGTTGCTGCTGCTGCTGCTGCTCTTGCTGCTGGTTGTTTTGCTGCTGGACTGGTGGGGCTGCGCCGGACTGAGCAGTCTGCAGAACAAACTTGAAGACCTCGAAAGAGTCGGGGTTCTCTGGTGTCGCGGCCGTTACACCGAAGGTGTTGCCAGCAGGAAGAGAAACCTTGTCCGTTGCGAAGCATAAATTGTCATCGACGGTAACTTCCAAGTTGGCATTTGTATGCTTGATACGAACAATGGAGGCCCGTCCCAGGTTGCGATAAGAGTAGTCGCAGTGTCCAAACGCAAGACTGTCTACACTTCTATGGCTCTTGTAGTCTGTTGTGCCATCGTTGAGGAACCCTCTAATGCTACCACGCTAGTATGATGTCAGTAATCATTAACAAGCCAGAATCATGAGTCTCACTCTTCCGCCGTGCATATCAACGACGAGCGCGAATCCATCCCATTGGCCAACAGTGTAAATGCTAGAAGTGCCAATCTTGCTCTGACCATCTTTAGCATACCAGAGCTGGAGGTTGCCCCCTCCTCTCTCAACTCCAGATGCTCGGAACTGGAATTCAGCTGACCATTCAGACTGGGAAACCCTATGTTCATTGTTAGCGATTCCAAAGCATGTAACGGTGGACTAATTCTAACTCACGGAGCCTGGGACCAGGCAAACCCTCTTGTGTTGCCAGGGTAAGGGGGGGTAAGAATTAGCTTGTTGGAGAGCTAGTGAAGTCAGAAATGCTTTTCACCATTTGTTAAATCAGTTGAACAACGAAGACATACAACTTGGGGAGCATGTCCTTCTCCTCCAATTGACCATCCCGGGATGGTGTCCCTGGTGGGTGATAGCCTAGAAAAGATGTCAGGATGATGGTACACAATGCATAGTCAAGGAAGTGGTTCATTACGTTTGGCCATGACCGAAGCTAGAGCCTTCAATCACAGTTTGTGCCGCAGCGAGAGCAGCGAACAGTGGTAAAGAAGCCGAAAACCTCATAGTGTCTATACAATCAATCAAGTATCACTACTTGTTATGGAAGTGCCCTGTTGATCTATGGGAATGGTGGCAAAAGCGTGTTCAATAATTCAAATAAAAGGCCAAAAGAACAGAAGCAAAACGTATTGACCACTGGGTATCAAAAGCGTCACTGATCAGGCGTAGCTCTTCGATTCAATAGCGCGGAGACAACACGAGTAGTGGTCCACCCAAGCACAATGGCGATCACGCAGTAGCGGATCTCTCTGACAATTGAGACGGTCGCCGGTGAAAAGTCGACCAAATGTTGAATGTTGAGATTGGAGAGAACGACAGAATGACGGACTCCTACGTCCGAAGCTAATTCCATGAAAGCTGCAGCTACTTGAGCACTAAATCGATCGGTATGATATGCCGAAGGGACACACTGGCCTTTGTCGGTGGGCATCCGCGTGTCACGTGAACAGCTCCCCCCAGATTATCGAGAGGGTCCTCCGTTCTATGGGAATTTCTCTTCTGGCAGGAACATTAAATGCTCCACGTTCGTTATCTCCCGTGTCTTTGACAGCACACCATGCGCAACAGCTCCAATGGCTGACCTATACCCCTCTCTGGCGCAATGCGCCATTGTCGCTACAGCCTTCAAGGTTCTCCTTTTCCCCGCCTAGTATGTTGGTTCAATTGAAAGCTAAAGAAGAATGTATATGTTTGCCAATCTTTACCTCGCGCTGACTCCCGGCTTTTACTTGTAGCAAATCGACTGACTTCGAGGTGCACCGGAACTGGCTCGCGACCACGCATTCATTACCTGTCAAGGAGTGGTACTACGAGGTATGCTGCGAACTCCGTATACTCTCCGTTTTCTTCTATACTGAAACCGATCCCCGGTTAGAAAACATCAGAATGGACACTCGACTATCCCCCTTTTTTCGCGGCATTCGAGTGGCTATTGTCTCAGGCGGCGCAGTATGCAGATCCTGCAATGTTGATTGTCAAGAATCTCAATTATGATTCCTGGCAGACAATTTACTTTCAGCGAGCAACTGTTATCCTTAGTGAACTTGTTCTCGTCTTCGCATTGAATCGGTACAGCTTCTGTTTCGCAGTCTCCTAAGAAGGTGGCTACCAAGACTAACGTGGTAATCTAGCTTCATCAAGTCTGCACCTCCGTCTAATAAGCAACTTGCGCATATCGCCAGCCTCTCAATTCTATTGTCGCCCGGCTTGCTGATCATCGATCACATCCATTTCCAGTATAACGGCTTCATGTACGGGGTTCTGATCCTGTCCATCGTACTTGCACGAAAACAGTCGACGCTCCTGTACAGCGGCATCACTTTTGCCATTTTGCTCTGCATGAAACACATTCATCTCTATCTGTCGTTGGCCTACTTTGTCTACCTGCTGAGAAATTACTGCCTTGACCCTAAGTCGGTCTTTCGACCCAAATTTGGAAATATTTTCAAGCTTGGTCTGGGTGTCATCAGTGTGTTTGCCGTAGCATTTGGTCCATTTGTCTATTGGAATCAGCTGCTCCAATTGAAAGATCGGCTCTTCCCGTTCTCGAGAGGTCTTTGCCATGCCTACTGGGCGCCCAACATTTGGGCAATGTATTCCTTTGCAGACCGTGCCCTCATTTTACGTATGTACTAGCGCCCCGAGCTTTTATGTCGCATAGCTAATTTTGATAGTTGCCCCCCGTCTAGGTCTTTCTATTAACCAGGAGGCCCTAACGAGTGTTACACGGGGTCTTGTCGGAGACACCTCGTTTGCTGTCCTTCCAGAAGTAACCAAGGAACACACTTTTGCGCTTACCTTTCTGTTTCAGCTGGTACGTGATTTCAACATTCTACATAATTCACCGATGCTTGTACTCATGGAGATGTAGCTTCCGTTGATCAAGCTGTGGCGTAGCCCCGGCGACTGGGACGTATTTGTTGGTGCCATTACGCTTTGCGGATATGCTTCCTTCTTATTCGGCTGGCATGTTCATGAAAAAGCGGTCCTCCTGATCATCATACCTTTCAGTCTCATAGCCCTTAGAGACAGGCGGTACTTCAGCGCATTTAGATCTCTTGCGATAGCTGGACATGTCTCCCTATTCCCTTTGCTATTTACTGCGGCCGAGTTTCCTATCAAGACCGTATACACCGTCTTTTGGTTGGTCTTGTTCCTGTTTATATTTGAGCAGGTAGCACCTGTGCCCGAACGACCACGGATTTTCCCGATTGTTGACCGCTTCTCCTTGCTATACCTCGCAGTGGCCATTCCGTTGATTATCTACTGCTCACTTCTACACCAGCTGATTTTTGGTCTGGAACGGTACGAGTTCTTGCCGTTGATGTTCATGAGCAGCTATTCCGCCTTGGGCGTAGTAGGCAGTTGGATAGGATTCATGGTTGTGTACTTTACCGCATAATACAAGAACTTATAGAGTCTTAATATGAGATACCTTCTTAATAAACTTGCGGTAGTAGGTATATTTCGTAAATAATAGTACTATTGCGTGTTGTGGTTGTGTTACACATGAGTCGCAGGAAATGATAGTCTTCAAATGCCAACAATGATGTAATAAACGGCTCTCGGAACTATCGAATGTTTGGTCTGTTTGATTGCATCCACGTGCTTCGGATATGGACCCACTTGATCATCCAAATTTGCAAAGTTTATCAGCCTTCAGGCCCAAACAGGTTAGACTCAACTTTTAAAGATGACCGATCCCATGGATGTGACACTGCAGGAAGTTACAACAATCTTAACATCAAATACAATGGCCTAGCGAACAAAAACTAATGGTGTTATTAAACTAATTAGTCCATCAGCCGGTACTAAATACCTATCTATGTTTTTTTTTTGGTTACTCTATCAGTCAGGAACTCTAGCGCTATCAGTCTAAATAGTTATTTGCATTCGTCATGTTCCGACGTCGAAGTATATTTTCCGGTATCCGTCAAGTGATGGATCACAGCCACCATACATTCTCTCTCCATTTTTTTCTCTTCCTTCTGCTCTCTTTCCCCAACAAACAAGTGGATAAGTGTCTTTTAATTGATAGAAATCAGATTTTAGTAATTTTACTCCTAGTCGCACCCACCTTTCTTTGTTTCTTTATAATGCTCCCACTGTATTTTTGCGCTCGCATGACTTATTATTTCGATGCTCAAAAAACAATATAAGCTAAGGTTAAATTCAATAAACATACAACCTATCTAAACAAATTCTGCGAGTACTAAACACTCCCCTGGTGAGTATCTCATGGCATGTCATTGCATATCGCTTGTATATATAATGATACCTGGGTGAAAATGTAGCGTAGTCAGTGGTACTCCTAACTACGTAATTCTGCTCAGATGCTACAATCGCCTGAGTTTTCTAAGCTATACTTTAAATATTGACTCTATAGATGCAGCATAAGTAGAAAGAAGATCTCCTTCAGGTTGACCATAGTATCGTCCATTCCTAACCATAAAATCAGGAAAATGTTTCTTCATAGTGTAAAGCGTGAAAACTGCACAGGCAAAACTGTCTCACTAGTACACAAAGAAAGTCAGAAATACCATTTGACATTAGCTTCTTGTCTGTTATGAACTAGACGAGCATAGAATTCTGGGGATCTCTCGCATTCGTGCAAGTATGGGGGTAGCTTTGCATGAGGCGAAACATATTTGGAATTTTATTATTGGGAGATAGCGAGACCAACGACATCCTCAGATGATATATAAAGATACATATAGCAAACATAAAGCGTTTATTATGTACTATACATGGAGCGTCAGCTTTGATGGCGATATAGTTTGAAAGGTTGATACTTTAGCAAGGGCTACTACTTAGCAATGATGTATGGGGAAGTTGAGATAAAGGTAGGCATTTCAAACAAGACCGAGAAGAAGCAATGAGTAGTTGTTTACATTGCGTGCACAGGTGATCCTTGAGCTATAGAAGTGTAATTGTTGAGGTCGTGGCGGGGAGGGCTGTATAAATGACCAGCCGAGTATCCAATGTTGGATATCCCAGAAATCTTTAGTTGCTTCCAGTGGCACTCAAATATCCGAGTTAGTAGAACATGAATTACCTTAAAAGATGGATTTGTGCGAAGCAGTAGTGTATATTTCACCAGGAAACTCTTAATTGTGGACGTATAGTCTATGTGGTGGCTATCCAGCATTAACCCTAGTAGTCCAACTACTCCCCGTGGAAATGGTCCAACGTCTCATGCTGATATCGAGGGACTACGGAGAAATAGGAAGATTATAACGTATAAGCAAAAGAAAATAAAAATCTACAGAAAATAACGAGCCGAACAAGTGCAAATACTAGTACAATTGGGGGGATGTGACGTGGTAGAGAGGGTCAAGAAGCGATGGGGGGAGAGTCAGTGCTTGCACCCTCCCACACTCCTTCAGCGTTACTCCCTATCGGGTATAGCCGTCCTTTGTCCGCCCGACATCTTGTTCGGCCAGTTCTCCTCCTCTCGTCCAATCATCGTCCGCCGTGCCTCGGCGGCCCTCCCACCACTTGCCGCAATGATCCTCATGGCCCGGTGGTTCTGCCGTTGCGGCGACCGCTTCTCCTTTCTCTTTCTCTGGAGATTCTTCATTTTCTTCTTCTTCTTTCATACTATCTCCTCCTCGTCCTTCCTCACGCGACCTCCCACACGACACCTGGTTTTTGGATATCAGCCAGCATTGCGGATCCACATTGCTGCCGAGCTCTCTTGCAGCTACACGATTTTCTGGATTTTTGTTCTCGTGTCGGGGCTACCATACTCCCGCGCACCCGTGTGCAGCGCGATTGGAGACGCGTTCGTTCAGTAAGTTCTCTTCACACGACCTATCTCGTCTGGTATTTGGCGATTTTGCTTTGGGTGGATCTACGAATATACTTCTATAGCTCCGCCACGAATCCGGAGCTTCTCCGCGCAATACGTTCGCGCCTGCGTCCTTGTCCCCAACACTGCCAATTCCATTCGCAGCATTGGCTACACTCCATTTACCTCAACTCTTTGTTCTGCCATGTGCCCTTGGTTTGCGTTGTTGTCTACCGAACTAACAGTCTCTTCCGATTATGCAGATCGTCCATGTTCAACGACATCACCAATAATCTATGCTAAATTGGCGCATTTCTTCCATTCCCTAGAGGACCATGGTACGTTGCAAGCTTTCACGGCTACGGGTAGCCCGCCGAGTCTGCTGGAAGAAGACAAATATAGTGAACGCGGCCTGCTTACATTATTATAGGTGCTGTTCAAGCGGAAGCCCGTCCAATACCTTCCCCGACCCGTTATTGAAGATGACAGTTCCGAGGCATGTGCATTCAACAAGGGCAATGGAGACACATATGCTTACAACGGTTATATAGGTCTGGGTCATCCCGGAGACCAACGAAGTCTTTACTCAGTATGAGCCGTATCTTCAGCGAATGGACTTCTACAAACAGAGAAGATTTATCTGCGAGATTACAGGCCATTCAGGCTTAACATTCTTCGAAGCGCTTAGGTCGGAAGTACGTCTCCGTGCTTGTTCTACTGCTAAGGTGCCAATACTGAGTCTTATTACTAGCTGGAGGAATCGCGGGAAGTTAATAACACATTCCCTGACGCTTTGAAGGAGCCCATCTTGCGAAGGATTCAATTCTCCACTGTATCGCGGGTCGACAACCTTGGTGCGTATGGCAAGTTCAGTGTTTCTAAGTTTCTGAAAACTAACGGCCGGATGTACAGTGGATGAGATTTATGAAGTGAGTTAAGATGGTGGTAGACAAGTTGGCTCATGATCTAACTTGATACTCAACAAATGCAGGAGTTTAAACAGGACTTTTACCCTGGCGAGCCGGTGTTGATATTGCTGGATGATAACACACGTTTACATGGTATGATCAGAGACAAAGCCAATTTCGCAGAACAACTGCATCCGGACGGCACCGTTAAAGCGCCAGCGTACGCGACATATCTCGTAAAAGTGCTAGATCGTCCGAATGAGGAAGCTCTATTGGACCAAGAGCATATTACTCGAGATCGGAAGACTTTCACGAAACAGATGTTGCGTGCTTTTATCAAGAACAATGTAACGCGGGAGTCTTGGAACGGCGCTCCCTGGTTAGTGAAACCATCAATCGCGGAAGAATACAGAATTCCCACTGAGGTACCGAAACACCTGCAATACGGAGCTAAGGTCGCAGAAAAGAAGGCGATGAAGAAGGCTGACCAAGAGGGTTTCTTCGGGTTTTTCGCATCACAGCAACTGCCTGAATTAAAACCTGCCGTGAAGGGCCAAAAGTCCAAACTTTCCCAACAGGATTTGGCTGGGTCCAAGGAGGCGCAGTTCCTTGAATATCAAAGGTCTCTGAATGGCAACCCAACTTTTGTTGTCAGCAACAAAACCACTGGAGCCGCTCGTTCGTCTAAATCTCAGGATACCGAAAAGAAATCGCAGATCGCTACTGCAGTGGTCGTCAAGACTGAAACCCCTAGACCGCCATCTCCTCCCCCGATCAAATATCCTATCGAGGATCTAGATATCGTACCGGACCGCGAAATAAAAAAGCAAAGGCCAGCTCTGAAGTTCTTGAAAGTCGACGAGACAGACATTCCCGATGATGAAGACTTGCTGCATGATGACATCGACATGAAGTCAGTGGGATTGCTTCTTGAAACGTGGAATACTCTTAACGTGTACTGTGAAGTTTTTCAGTTGGACTCGTTTACCTTCGACGATTTCCTCCAGGCCATGCGCTTTTCATCTGGGGAAGTAGACTGCGAACTCTTCGTTGAGGTACATTGTGCTGTTTTGAAGAAGCTGGTGAATTCCGAGAAGGATGAGAATGGTGCTGTGCAGATATCGCTCCCCGACCTTCCGGCAGATGACTCCGAATCCGACGAAGAGGATCAAGAAGAGGAAGTCGAAGAAACTCCCGAGCCCGAACCGGTGGTGACCAGAATGACTACTCGGAGTAGCCTGGCCAAGGCAGAAGCGGAAAACCTGAAGGCACAGGCAAACCGCAGCCGCTCTAATTCAGTAGAGGTCAAAATCCATCGGGCTGCCGAGATGTTTGGAGATTATGGTTGGATAGACCGTCTCCGGATGCGAGACTTCCGCAACGGTGGTTGGGAGTTGGTCATGGTAGGGCTACTGCACCAACTATCCGCTCGCCCACGGATGGAGAAGGTCTGTAATGATATACTCAAGCATTTAGCTCCTCTTGATGCGGAGCCGACCCAAGATACTGTCCAGCGCCAGTATGCTACCCTCGATATCAACATGCGCGTTGAAGCCCTCCAAATCATATGCATGCTCAGCCTGGAGACCAAAGCCATTCGAAGTTATCTGGAGGAGTGCAGTAACCAAATGACCGAGTTCCGCAAAGAGAAGATCGAATATCAAAAGGCTCGAAAAGCAGGGTAAGTAGATTGATGTACATCCCAGCAGTGTGTTTGATTGACATATTATTCCAGGCTCGAAGAACTTCGACGGTTACACCAAGAACGGAAAGCACTCCAACCTGAGCCAGAAAAGTCACCATCTCCAGCGCCAGAATTGGAAGCACTGGAAGACTCCAAGATGACCGGAGTTGACGGAGAGTCTGATCAAGTTGCGGATTCCGAAGAGGAAGAGGAAGTTCCTCAACGGTCGCTGCGCGGAGGATTGGATAGAGTTCTTGAGAGGAAACGGAAGCACGAAGAAGAGCAGAAACGAAAGGAACAGTTGGCGAAACAGCCGAAGGGCACGAAGCAATATCAGAGGGTGCTTAAGAAGATCGATGACCAAAAAGCGAACATCGAAAAGCTCGAAGAGAAGATCGACGTGGTGGACAACGATTTAAGAGAAGCCGATTGCCCACGAACCAGATGTCTTGGAAAGGACAGGTTTTGTAACCGATATTGGTGGTTCGAGCGAAACGCAATGCCATACGGGGGGATGCCGAACAGTTCAACGGCAGACGCACAATTTGCCAATGGCCGCTTATGGGTTCAAGGCCCTGACGAAATGGAGCGTGTAGGGTTCATTGATGTGCCTGAAGATCAGAAGAAGCAATACCAGAAAGAATTTCATATGACTCCAGCGGATCGCAAGAAGGCCGAAGAAGGACCCACCAGGCTCTCGAACGCGGATGAATGGGGCTACTATGATGACCCTGATGCTTTGGACAAACTTATCGATTGGCTTGATTCACGGGGCAATCGAGAGTTGAGATTACGCAAAGAGCTGTTACTTCAGCGTGACAACATTGTCAAGCACATGAAGTTCCGTAGGGAGTACCTTGCGCAGACGGCCGAAAGGGCTGAGTCGGAGGAGATGCCCACGAAGCGGATGACGACCAGAAATAAGACCTACGTGGACGACCACAAGCACCGTTGCCTGAGCTGGCATAACACGACGGCTATGTCTGAGAACGGACATCTTCATATAGATGCTTCGCGACCAACCAAGCGAGCCAAGAGGGCCACTGAAGACCCCAAGGAGATCAAGGCAATTAATCGCCAGGGCAAACCCTTGACAAGGCAAGGTTCACGATACCACTTCTAGAATTTCCGTTTTTGACTCGGTCGGCGTTTTTATGGGATCTTTTATGGGGTTTAAGGATACATTTGGGGAGTGGCAAGCAAATAAAAAGGTCTTTTCACTGGTATATACGAGCAACGAGACCATGAAAGTTTGGATCGCAACACATATCTTTTATGTACAAAGTGAGGATATATAGCATCGGGGAGCTGAGGAAAGTTTAGTTGGTAGACGTTTGTATATAGATCAACTCTCTAGTAGCTTTTCAGCTGACGGGAGGAAAAACTTGTTGCACTGCAGATGAAGCATCAAGACATAGAGACATAATAGAGCACCATCAATGAAAACATAACTGGTTTTCCAAGCACCATTTGGATATTCTACCTGTGTACATACTACTTAGTACGGCTGGATCTTTCGTCAAGGTGACAAATCCGTGGTCAGTCGTTGGCCACTTGACGGTCATGTGACAATAAATATCCGCCACTCGGTTATCGTCGCGTATTAAGACCGTACGCAGGCCCTATTTAAAGGGAGGCGGGTCGTATCGGCACGTCAGCGGCGTAACGTCACTTCCGCCGAGTTTCCGCTTTCCACCCGGAGGAGCAAGAATGCGATCAGGTCGTTTTTTCTAATTGATAATTGTTCTATGTGTCGTTCATAGAGGATACTGCAATTTACCTGTTATTTGCTGTCTGTCATTCGGAAGGTTATCTCCTTTCTCTGTTGGGGATATCCATCTTATCTCCAGCTTGAAATTCTTTCGTGAAATATCCATGGCATTGATTACTTTCCGGTAGCCCGTGACTTTGACGTCGGATTCTCCTCACCACCATCCAACCGGGCTTCCTGCCTGGATGTACTAGTACTCATGTCTGCTGTCGCACCAGAACATGTACATGATTCATCACCGATCAGCTCCAGAAACCCTCAGCCTTATCGCGTAATAGCGGACGCCGTCCCGCACTCACATCTTCAGATGGAACAAGTCGCAGATTCAAGACCAGCACGAGGACCCACGACTGGTGATATAAGTAGGAACGCAACGGTAGCCACGACACAAACGACTGCCGTCGATGATGCTTCGTCACCGGGTTATAAAAAGAATGGCCTCGGAGGCCCACAACAGATGAACAAGCGGAGTTTGGACTATGTATTAAGGAGTGGCCTTGCGGGGGGTGTGGCGGGGTGTGCGGTACGTTACAACGTTTAAGCTTATCGTGCCAGGTAAAGTGTCGTGGGTATGTCGAATGCTAACTGTTGTTCTTATAGGCAAAAACGGTGGTTGCGCCGCTTGACCGTGTCAAAATCCTTTTCCAAGCGTCGAACCCGCAGTTCGCCAAGTATACAGGCAGCTGGTCTGGCCTGTTATTCGCGGTTCGGGACATTAATCGTCACGAAGGGAGGAGAGGCCTGTTTAAAGGTCATTCTGCGACCCTTCTCCGCATTTTCCCTTATGCCGCCATCAAGTTTCTCGCATATGAACAGATCCGAGCGGTGATAATCCCGTCCCGGGACAAGGAAACACCATTCCGCCGCTTGATTTCTGGGAGTCTGGCGGGGATCACATCGGTTTTTTTTACGTATCCGTTGGAGCTCATTCGAGTACGATTGGCGTTCGAGACTAAGCGATCTTCTCGCTCTTCCTTTACGGATATTTTCCGACAGATCTACCGCGAGCGGGTTTCGCCGCCTTCCGTACCAAGCGGTCTCTCATCCAGCCCCTCGGCCTCAGCTGCAGTCACTGCCACGACTGAAGTCTCCTCTGCTGTGAATAAAGTAGTTCCTAGCTCTGGACTGGCGAACTTTTATCGTGGATTTACGCCTACCCTCCTGGGGATGCTTCCCTATGCGGGAGTGTCTTTCCTTACGCATGACACCGTTGGTGACTGGCTTCGGTCACCGGGACTCTCGCAATACACAACTATTCCAGGATCTGAATTGCAGTCCAAGAAAGGTTCACATCGCGCTCAACTGACCGCCGCGGCGGAACTTTTCTCTGGGGCCCTTGCCGGTCTTGTCTCTCAGACGTCATCCTACCCGCTGGAGGTCATCCGGCGGCGAATGCAAGTAGGAGGAGTAGTGGGCGATGGTCATCGACTAGGAATCGCCGAGACGGCTCGGACGATCTGGCTTGAGAGAGGCTTCCGGGGGTTCTGGGTTGGTCTGAGCATTGGATACCTCAAAATTATTCCTATGACAGCCGTGAGCTTTTTCGTGTACGAGCGGATGAAATGGTCCCTGGGGATTTGAGAATGTTGAAGCGACTGATTGTATATTTCTTTATTTCGCTTCGACCTTTCCATTTGGGCAAGACTAGAGACATCTTGTCATGTTGACTCCGGTTTTCTACTGTTTTCCTTAGATATTGTTTTTTTTCCCCTTCCCATCTTACCTAGATCCAGAGGTATTGGCGTCGTTTGGTTGTCATGGTTGACATTGTTCATACCCATTCTTTGCATAGTGAGGCAAGAGCTGCCTCTGGTGGTACTGTACATAGAGCACATAGTTGGAATTTTGTGCATGAACAGGAGTGTTTATAGATGAAGAATATACATCTTGAAAAGAGTTTTAAAAGAAGTAAGTCACACAGAAATAAGCAAGTTAACCTTCACTCTCAGTATACTACCTCTACCTAGCAATACCTTAAAAGTACTACTACTACTAGTAGTAGTAGTATTGGGGTACCCAAGGTCTCCCTCTGATTGGCCAGCCACCTGCACGAAAGCACAGACCAACAGCGGAACAAAAAAGTTGTCGGGCCTTTCCAGAACAATCAATTTTAGCCCAGTCGATGTGAAAATTGCATACATCCTCGAAACCCCAAAAAGGAGAAAAGGAACATAAGAAACCCCCCAACAAATACCCCTCACCACAATTGACAAACAAAAAAAAAAAAAAAAAAAAAAAAATGACAACCCGGAAGAGAAACGAATTCCTCGACCTCGCCCCAAGCGACGATGAAGACAACGACCGCGGCTACGACTCCGAAGCAGCAGAAGAGAGTAAAGCCCGAATCTCCAAGCGCAGACGAACCCAAACCCAAGACGACGAATCCGACCAAAGCGACAACGACTCCGACGAAGACCTAAAACTAAGCAAGAGCAAAGGCAAAGCCAAAAAGCCCCAACAGCAAAGCGAAGATGACAATATCAGCGACGACAACGACGACGAACAACAAGAAACCTCCGGCGCCCAATACCTAGATGTTACAGAACAAGAGACCAAAACTAGCAAGCGAAAACCGTTGGACAAGGGCAAGCCGCCGAAGAAGAACAAGACCGGGGTTGTGTATCTCTCGTCTTTACCGCCTTATTTGAAACCGTTTGCGTTGAAGAGTATGCTTGAGGCAAGGTCGTTCGGGCCGATTACGAAGGTGTTCTTGTCGCCTGCTGTGAAGCCGGCTTCTGCGCCGCGGAGGAGGTCGAATAAACGGAAGACGTATACGGATGGCTGGGTTGAGTTTGCGTCAAAGAAGACGGCTAAGCTTTGCGCGGAGACGTTGAATGCATCGATTGTTGGGGGGAGGAAGGGGGGTTGGTACCATGATGATGTGTGGAATATGAAGTATTTGAAGGGATTCAAATGGGGAGATCTGATGGAACAAGTGCAGAGGGAGAGACAGGAGAGGGAGGCTAAGCAGCGCATTGAGGATTCTCGGGCTAGAAAAGAGGATAAGGTCTTCCTTCAGGGTGTTGAGACGGGTAAGGTTCTTGATGGAATGCAGAGGAAGAATGAAGAAAAGAAGAAAAGGAAGATGGAGGCTGGTGATGCAGGAGGGCAGCAGACGAAGGAGCTCAAGGTTAGGAGAACATTCAAGCAGAATGAGGTTAAGAAGGGCCGCCATACGATCAAGGACGGTGAAGCTTCTTTGGAGGATGATACAAAGAGGGTGCTGGGGAAGATTTTCTAGTCGATTCGTGTACAATTTTTCAAAGATATCCTTATCAGCGAAACAAGCTTTGTTGATTTCAATATTCTAGCAGATCTGCTTTTGCTATGTACTCGGACCTAACTTTTATACCGCCAAATCAATGTCGCCAATGAACGCCGGACCCTTGGTGTGAAATCATGATTGTAGTTCGACAGAACTTATTCGTCATCGTTCATGTTCAGCTCATCAAAGTCATCAAGCAACTCGTCCATGTTGATCTTCGGCACGCCCTCATCATCACTGTCTTCGTCCATCTCCATACCACCAGCATTCTGGTTCTTCCTGGCCTTGTATAGCTCGATAGTGCCCCGCAGCTCCTGGTCTTCCTCAACGTCGCGAAGGAACATTTCGAAATCTGCTTCGAGACGCTCACGTTCCTGTTCCTGTTTGCGGCTTCCGCCGGTAGGGGCTTGGAGTGCTTCCTCCTCGTGCTCACGAGCCATACGCTTGACTCGCCAGTTGCGGGACTTGTTCTTCTTGCGAGTGTAGTGCTTCTTGACAAGGACAACATCAGGAATCGTAGAGCTGTATTGGCTACTGGCCTCAATAGCATCATAGTTGGGGTCGTTGAACATCGTGCCAGTCAGATGGTAGCCTAGAACAGAGTCTCCAACATGGAGAATCCCGCCTAGATGAGTACGGGTAAAGTAGGTCTGGTCATTTGAGCCCAAGTCCGACGCACGAGCAACAGTTGCTTCGGCAAGGTGGAATCGCCCGTTTGATCTGCCTACCGGCTCAATATCCATCACGATGAACTCAACCAACTCAGTGACATCCGCGAGATTCTTGAACGGCGATCTCCAGTAGGTCGCGCCAGGAACCTCAGCAGTCTGTAGTGTGTTGGGATCCAAGAGTTGAATTGTAGTTCCGATCCGGTGGCATAGTGTCAGTGGCGAGATATTACCTATCGACCGGGCTAATTTGATAGGGATAGCGACGAGGTCATCCTTGCAAATAGGGACTATTTCGACCGAGTAGGAGAACTTGTAGGACTTCGTCGATGTATGAATGTCCATAGAGATAAGCTCTGATGCCTTCTTCACCTTGACAGGCACAACTGAAGAAAGGAATTCAACCATCTTCTCTGCATGGCTTCTCTGGCTGAAGTAGAAGTCCAATCCGTCCTTTGCTTCCTTGATGTTATTGGTATCCTGATGCGCGCGGTGACGAAGAATAAGTTGTTCTAGATAAAGGAATGTTCGCTTATGCGGAACCTTCTGTCGTACTTGCTGTCAAGTGAGTTAGCACAGCTAATACCCTCGGGAAATTGCGATACTGGTAACTTACAACTGATGCGACCCACGTATGTGGGGAAAACGAACGAAGACAATCGGAACATTGCTGGTAATGAACGACATACTCGACAACAAATGCTTGTTGCAGAATTGTCCCTGCGGCCACCTCCTGTTGAATGGTGATCTTGACTTTGATACGTCTTGAGTGAGGTTCAGTCCAGATGAAACTGGCGTCGATGATCCGGACCTTCGTCAGGCCGCGAAGCTTGCGCAGACATAGTGCCAACAATTCTTTTGACTCGAGCGCTGCACTGACCCAGCTGTTGGGGGGTAGAAGCCACCGCTGCGCAGGGTTAGTGACACCCTAATGACCACTTCCGAGATAAACCCACCTCACAATCCCTGCAAGTATGGACAACCGCCTCTCTTTGGATACCTTCAGAAATATCGACAGTCGACCTAACACAGTCTTGACAAAGCGCACCGGCCGCTGTTGTTCCATCGATCGGGGCACCGCAGTTACAACAGAGAATACTAGTATATATGTGTTAGCCATAGCGGGGTAAGATAAGAAGAAAGAAGGTCGACATACGTCGCAGCTACATGGTCCTGCGCAGCGATAGGGACCGGCGCATCCAGATCCATCGACATATTTGCAAATTCCTGCCGCAGACTGATATGAAACCGAGACAAAAAGAGGTAGGATGAAGTGAAACTAAGGGTTACTTGATTTGTAACTTTTTTTTTTTGCCGCGGGGGAAAGATTTCCGTTTGCTTTGTTTGATTGCTTAATAATAAATGTGTTTGTCATGTTTGCTCTGAGCTTTGAGCAGATGTCATCGTTTTTACTGATACCCTTCTCATCCAGTAACATTTTCACATCCGTCATATACTCGCATGATGCATCGAACATTGTTGAGGGGCCCCTGGTGTCGCCACGAGGCCATCTTGCCGCTTCGGATCATAAATTCTGCCTCCAAACTTCGTCGGCCTTTCCCTGTACCTTCACCCTACAAGCACAATCCACGAGCCTTTGCTTCAGTATCCTACCTTGCGTCAGGGCAGCCGCCGCATCCTACGCTCACAGAAGGAAGAGAGATTTCTTCAGACAATGGACCGTCCGGGTCGACTAGTCATATTCCATGGTATCTGCAAGAAGACATGCCAGTTTCCGAGTCGCAGATATCGTCCCGAGATCAAATTCCAGACTTACCAGAGGACCCACCTGCGATTCTTTCCCCATTTCTTGATTATGTTTTCAAAGACCTTGGATTAGATGAACTTAAGCTGATTGACTTACGGGGTCTGGAAACACCTCCTGCTCTTGGCGCAAATGTCATTATGATCATCGGAACGGCCAGAAGTGTGAAGCATCTAAACGTTTCCGCAGACCGTCTCTGTCGCTGGCTGAGGAGCAATTACAAATTGTCCCCATACGCAGATGGGCTACTGGGTCGGAATGAACTCAAGATTAAGCTGCGACGCAAAGCCCGTCGAGCCAGACTTGCAAGCCGTTCCGGCGCCATGTTTGATGACAAGGATGATGGAATTACTACCGGCTGGATATGTGTGAACGCTGGCGTTGTGGAGGAGAGCCCTGTGCTAGAGAAAGATGAAACGTTTGAGGGATTTGGCAAGGTCGGCAGGGGTACGAGGATTGTCGTGCAGATCTTCACAGAGGAGAAGAGGGCCGAAGTCGATCTTGAAAGCCTATGGCAGGGAACCCTAGACCGCGCCGAACGAGAGAAACAGAAGTATTCCGAGGTCACTCGTAATGCACCTCCTGAAGAGGTTCGTGATTCCAACTCGATATATCTACCACCATCTGACCGTGAATCTGGAAAAGTCCCCAGGTCAACAGTAAGCCTCCTATTCGAGCAGAAGAGGCATTTTCACAGCACCCGACCTATCGGCCTCCCGAATGGTAGTGAGGATGTCAACAGTGTAGCAAGGCTTATCACATCGGGACCACCAAACGGACGCCTTGCTCATGGAGATGTTTTTAGTGCTGGTATTTCTACATACTCCTTATTCCAATATCTTAAAAGCTTGCCAAGTGAGACCGCTCGGCACGAGCTGGGGACTGGCCCAGTTGACCAAGGATCAACCCTCTTTCTTCAACTTTTCTATAACCGTTTGTCAGCCCTGTCTGCAGAGGAATCCGCTGTAGCCCATGTCAAACTACTATGCATGGCTATTTCCCGACAACACTCGGCCTACAGCAAAGAAGACTTATGGACTGCGTTAATGAGATGCACTGCTTCAGGATATCATGTCTCTGACGATCTTGCCTTCGACGTTGTCTCGACAATGTTGACGGAGTCGCCCCCGGATGACCGCAATAATGGGTCTTTTTTGCCAGACTCGGACAGAGAACTTGCTGTTCGGGTTTTGGAACATCTCTCCCTTCGTGGTACAAATGTTTTGAATATGAAAGTGTTAAACATGCTACATAGAGCGACTAGTGCCGCATCCCCTGAAGTGGCCCAACGAATTTCACGTATTATAAAGACCCTTGACCTACCTTTTGATGCCGACCACTCCCGTGTTCTCATGGCAACACTCTTTCAGAACCAGGACTATGATGGATTCTGGAAGTTGTGGCGCAAATTGCCTCTGACTAATAGCCCGCGTACCGGTGCAGACTACGAGATGCTTTTCCAGCTACATGCTGAATTAGGCGATGAGCTTCGCGCTCGAGACTGTCTATCAACATGGGTGCCCATGATGACTCGGGAGGAAACTCCAATTCCCTTGCAGGGGCGGCTCCTGCAGCATGTAAAACAATGTCTTGTTGTGGCAGACCCGGATATTGAACAAAGCGCGGCGAGCGGAGCTACAAGTGACTTGGCGCGAATATGGAACCAGTGCCAAAGAAATATCTAGCTTATGATCATCTTGGCTGTGTCGGACTCTATTGCATCCTTGGGGTGCTGTGGAACCATTGGAAATGTATATAACCATTGTATTTTTATAGTCTTGTATAGTAACAAAGCTCCATGTATACTGGCAATCGATAGCACTTACCATATTGGGAACTACGATAAGGGCCAAGGCACATGCCGATAAGCCTCGGCTCAATCCGCCCAAACGCCGTCCGGGGTTGAGCACCGCATCCAACCTCATCTCTCCGCATCTTCTGCCATTCCAAACCACAATCAATTCAGCGTCTGGAGGAGGATGACTGGCCGATATCCTCGCTATGGAATATCTACCCAGTCTTCAACAGGAGTTTGACGAGCTCAAACCGTCTCTCTTCGGTATGTTGCAATGCTCTAACGGTTCCGACGACCGCCGGCTGATAACGCATAGAACTCCTCGCCGAACAGCAACTGTCGGACCTTCTACCCCCATCCATTCGATATATCCTCGCGGTTGCCACCCATCGCCATCCTCGGTATCTGCTGCGGATACTAAACTCCTATGATGAGATTTACGCACTTCTATCTTTGGTAGTTGAGCGGTACTATCTCCGCAATTTTGGAGGCTCTTTCACCGAGAACTTCTACTCTCTCAAGCGTGAGCGCGTTCTCCTGACCAAGAATGGCGAGATCCCACGCGCCCAGCTCGGCGCTCCAGTACCCGTCCGAGAGACACTTAAACTGCGCTCCTCAGATGTGTGGAAGAACCTGCTCATCATGGTCGGTATTCCGTACCTCAAGCGCAAGCTAGACGAAGGCTACGATATCCACGCCGCACCCCAGGCGTCGCTGATCATGAGTGGCGGTCCCCGATATGACCCTAATGATGACCTCCCGCCAAACCCAACCATCCGGCAGCGGTTACACCACTACTATAAGTGGTTTCTTCGAAACGTATACCCATCCGTCAACGCCGCTTACTACTTCTCTATTCTGGCCTTCAACCTAGCCTACCTATTTGACAACACAAAATATTCCTCTCCATTCCTTTGGCTCATCGGCACCCGTATTCGTCGTCTGGGTGGTGCCGACCACAAGGCCATTGCAGACATGCTGGAAGCGAAACCAGCCGCTGGTCCCGGTGGCCGCGGACGCTCCCGCCCAGGTTCCGGCCTGCTAGGCCTACTGAGCCCGCAGAATCTCTACCCTCAACTCCTGACATCTCTCCGCTACTTCCTCCCCGCATCTATCTTCGCCCTGAAGTTCCTCGAATGGTGGCACGCGAGCGACTTCTCGCGCCAACTAGCCCGCAAAGCAACCGAAGTCCTGGACCTACCTGCTCCAGTTACAAACGGCATGATCCTCCCATCGGAGAGAAAGAAGCTCGCCGAAGAGAAAGAGAAGAAGAAACAAGAACCTGACTCGCCGACGCGCAAATCGGCCCTCAAATCTTCCCGCAAACGCCCCCAGCCGCCTATCTCGGCTACCTCATACTTACCTATCTTTACCGTCCCTCTTCCACCCCCAGGTTCGGACGCGGCATCTACCTGCCCCATCTGTCTCAATCAGCTGGCAAATCCAACTGCATGCCAGACGGGGTATGTTTTCTGTTATGTCTGTGTCTTCCATTGGCTTAATGGGGAGCATCAAAAACAAATTGACTTCATGAATGGGGAGGACACAAGTGCCCCGTGGGAGGATGAGTCCGAGGATGAGGAGGCAAAGAAGGGTGACAAGGAGAAGATTGGTGGCCATGGTCAGAGTCGGGAGGGGAAATGGGAAAGTGGGAAGGGCAGGTGTCCTGTGACGGGAAGAAGAGTGTTGGGTGGCACGGAAGGCCTGAGACGAGTATTGATTTAGAATTCTACTGTACAAACACCCGTTCTAGCATATATTACACGTGACATGGTCAATCACATCCGCTTTATAGTAAATACTCCAAAGCTATCTCATTAAGACTCCGAGTTCTGAAATTTGCAGCATACCTATATTTCACCGTAGTACCATATATACACACCTGATATTACGTACTGATGCCATCGCAACACTAATCTTCAGCACAAAGATCTGGGTATAACCTAGCAAGAGACCAAACCAGTCACTCACTCAATAACATACGGCTTCGCCCCATCCCCAAAAATCAAATGCGGCCTTTCCTTTGCAACCTTCAGAATAGTCTGAGCAAAGACCGAGTTCGCCCATGCAAACCACGGCCTGGTATACTTTTCAATATTATTAACGTCGATAGACTCGTGTACAAGACCCAGGAGACTCGAGTTCCGGACAAGATTGATGCACTCGATAATCTCGGCATCCGAGTCGGAAGTCTGGGCTTGGATGAGAAGAGACATTGGCCAGGCGTTTTGGAGGCCGACTGTGCGATTTCCATTAGAAATTATCTTCTAGTATGATAAATTGGGGGGTGGGAGGAGGGAGAAACCATACTATGAGGACCACCAATACCGTGGAAAGCAGATCCAGTCAGATAATACGGGTTACCATCCTTGCTGAGGACCATATTCCGGGTATTCTGATATACCTTGTCATCCTTGTCGACGTAGCCCAAGACGGGGAGCGAAAGGAGAGAAGGAACGTTAGCATCGTCCATAAGAATGCGGGATCCGTAGCCATCGACTTCGAACGCAAAGACATCCCCGAACTTGGGGTGATTGACTACGCCGTGTTCGCGGACAGCTTTGTCGAGATTCTCGCCTCGGTCTTGGAGCTGTTGCGCTAGGTCGGTTTTGCCGCCAGCTTTGCGGAGCACCTCTGCTGTCTTCTTCAGCTGGACGGCCATCATGGCGTTGGGCGGTATAAAGAAGCCCAGGATGGTGGCGTCGTCGCTGGGCCGGAATGCGCTGCGGATGAGTCCGGTGCCATGGTTCAGCGGGTTCCCGACGCCGGCGAGGTTGAGCGTTTCTGTGCCTAGGGTGGTCGTGCGCTGGAATGTGTACTGGTTTGTGACGAACTGGTCGTTGTTGAAGGTTGGCTGTGATTGCGCGTCTAGGACTTTCAAGAGGGTGTCCAGGGCGAGGTACCACCGGTCAGTGAGGAACTCTGTTGATCCTGTGTTTTCGTAGAATTCCGTCCCGAGGGCGAGGAAATTGGCGAGGGAGTCGAGCTCGTACTTGCATTCGAATACGACGGACGGTTCGTATGCGGGGTGGACCTTGTCGTCCTGGCCGTTGTCCGTGGCTTGGATACCGCTGGGTGGTGGCGGCTGGAAGGCGTTGCAGTATGGAGATTGGATGACGAATTCAGCCTGCGTGTTGATCGCTCCTAGAATGAGGTTGTGCAGGTTCTTGTCTTTCTTGGCTAGGGCCTGGTAGCCTGACAATTGGTTTGTTGAGTCGCGCAGCCATTCTGCGTTTATATCGCCTGTTACAACGAAGGTCTGGGGCCCGTTCCATTGCGATCCGGCTCTTTTGGCCCTTCGTGATGCTTGTGCGGTGGATCCGTCCGTGTGCCATCTGATGGTTGTGTCTAGGGTGTTGGGGAAGGCGTTCTTGAACAATTGAGCTAGATCTTTGTCTTCAATGCGCGATGTGATGTCTTCAATGACCTGTTCTACTGCTGGGGAGCTGAAGGTGCGACATTCTTGAGCTGGTCGTTGGAAGGGTAGGTTCAGAGGACCTCCGCTGTATGGGGGGCTACGGAGAAGAGGTGCTTAGCATGAGGAAGATGGCTGCGATCGCAAGAACAGATCGGGAACTTACTGTGGCGCTGTGGAGTATGTGAGATAGTCCGGACAGGCCCGTCGCAGAATTGCAGGGTCGTCACGTAGTCCTGTAGAGCCCTGTGCGTTCCAGCAAGCTGCAAGGGCGACGACCAGCGCTGCTGAGGAGCGCGTCATGATGGACGGGGCTTTAGACGGTGAGTTTTGTATTTCGGGATGTCGCGTATATATGGGGCTTGCGATCAGCCTGGAACAGCGATCAAAGACTATGGATATTGGCAACCGAAGTTGGAGTTGAGAGATATGTTGTGGTTCCTTAATAAATTGTAAATTAAATGCCAAGCGGAAGGTGGGAATGCGGAGAAAGCTCGAAAACGGAGGGTCAGTGTTGTTTATATGCTGCTGTCTCTCAAATACTAGTTGGATACACAGTCAATATCAGAGGGGTCAACTTCTCGGAGAATTTCCGAATACCCTGGGCGTGAAGGGTCACATTGCACTGTCACTGTTACACTGGGAAGAGAAGGCATGATTGTCGATCTCTTGATTTATAGTCCGTGCATAAATACATCCTAATGAGGGTTTAGTGAATCTTCCCCGCAAATAATGATATGATAGCGAGGATCGGCATAAATACCAGAAGAATGTATGGCAATAGATCTGTCAATTGGTTTTTTAAAAATACTTGCACTGAGGTCTATCATGCTATATTGCGGGAATATAGATTGATGTTAATTTGTTATATTAGCAATTGATCCTGTCGTTCTCCGGAGATGTATCCTACTCCTACTCCTACTACTACTACTACTACTACTACTACTACTACCATCCCCCCGCATGAAGTGGGTACAACAAAGGAATCATGTCAATGAATAGATATCCTTCTATTATTGGAGGTAATGCGGACACGCAGGCTTGCAAATATGCTATTTGGTATACATAAACTCCTTCATCGCAGTGTAATACCCCAGACCACTTACTTCTTGCCGAAAAATGACATGATATTGCCCTGTCCTTTACCTGCAGACTTGCCTTTGGGTGCACTCACAGCTGGTTTCTTTTTAGGTGGCGGCGCAGGCTCGTCCTCGGAGAAGGACTCCCACGATGGCTCCTCAACGGTCACTGGACAGCAGTGGTCAGCTCAAATTCATCTACAGTCATCGAAAGCCTTACCTAAGTAGCCTTCATCATCCTTGCGGACCTGCTTCTTCATCACTTGACGCCTGCCACGACGACGGCCTCCCTGGACTATTATTTCTTCCTTGAGCTCCGGTTTCTTCGGAGCTGGCTGATCAATAGGTTTGGATTCTTCCGGTGGTTCTGTGGCATCGGGCATTTCTTCGTCTTCGTCTTCGTCTGCGTGTGGTCAGATGATGCCAAGCATTCAACAGGCTATGGTGCCATACCGTCATCCTCCATCATTTGTTTCAGCTTCTCCTCACGCTCTTTCCGACTTTCGCGAGTTGCAGCGGCTGAGGATGCAGACTTCCCGCTGTCCGGGAAGAGCTCTTCCGGTTCTTCGTCGGCATCGTCGTCATCACCGAAAACTGTGTCCATCTGTCAATATATCTGAATGTATCGGAGCACCAAAGACCAAAGTACTAAC